GGTCTTGCTAAGTTGCCCAGGCTGGCCTGGAACTTGCAATCCTCCTGCCTCAGCCTCCCAATAGAATGTGTTTCTCACTCACATGAGGTCCAGGGGATGGCATCTAGGATTCATTCAGACTGACAAAATCTCTGCTATCTTCAATGTACATGACTTAGAAAGTCCTATTGGGTGTTGGCATCCAGCTGCCGGATAAATGGAGAGAATCCACTTAGGAGGGGTTGGGGGACCAGGCCCAGAAGTGGTTCCATTGGCCATAGCGCAGTCACAAGCCCCCATAAAACTGCAAGGGAGTTTGGCTGGAAAACATGGTCTAACTATATGTTGAAGAAGAAAGGGAAATGGGTTTAATGAGTGGCTAGCAGCCCCTTCCTCGGTTTGAGAGAAGGGACAGTAGAAAAAGGAAGAGTCCGTGTCCAAGCCCTTGTCCTGGTAAATGAGGAATTTGTCTTCAAGCCAGAGTTGGAGTTCCAGGATTCAGGGCTGGGACTGGGGACTGAGGAGATCAGAGCAAAGTAACCCCTTTGTGGCAGGGAAAATTGTGTACAAACTTAGCGGCGGTGGTGAGAGAGACAGATCTTTCCAGAAACTAGGACACAAGATTCTAGGCAATCAATCCCAAATGATGGAGGACAGACAGATAGACATAGATTACAGGGGCCTTGACCCAGGGCCTCCCAGAAGCTGGAAATGTACTGAAGGCCATGGACAGAAATCAGACCAACTCACTATCCTCTCCTCTGTGTACTCACATAAAAAGCCTCACTCCTTTGTACCTTCACAGTGGCCCTCGGGAATCTATTAAAACCAGAATCCAAATCGTTGTATACTGAAAACCTGGTTGCCTTTATTCATGGTCACGGAGAGCCTAATCCTTTCCTTCAATAGTCCCAGTATAGGAAGGGAAATATGGTTCATCCTATGCAGTCAAAGAAAAGAAAGAATAATACAATAGCTGTGTTTGGGGTTCCATATAAATAGGTTGAATGTGTCCTGGCCCCTCTCTGCTGGGTCCAGTTTCTAACAGCAATAGGCCCAGGTGGAAATCTGCAGAGTGTCAGCCTCAACCACCCGGCCAGCTGGGTAGCCAGGCTCCTGAAAAGAAATAAGACCATCAGCTGCTAGGACACTTCCAGGGCTTTAACAGGTGGCTTTCCTTCCCAGGAGGCCAAGTATCCTAGCCATCTTGCCTCCACATTTACAAACTCACGGTCATGGACAGTGCAGCTCCTGCAGAGGTGGGTGGGGTCGGATCTAGTAGGCCACGCAGGAAAACGTGGCAGCTTATCCTGCTTAAGGCAGAAGATACGTGTCCTTCACGTGCTGGAGTCAAGTGCCAGGAGAAACCAAAGAGTAAGATGTTGTAAGATCAACCAGTTCAAGAAGACAGTGGACATCAGTAGCCCAGACCAGCCCACACCCCTGAGGCCCTCCTGGAACAGAGACCAGACCTAGGTCATTCGTCACAGGTCCTGAGCGGGGAGCCAGAACTGCAAGACACAGTTTGTCACCGACCCTATCACCCACCAGGGCTTGCAGTGGGCATTTGTGGCCAAGTCATGCTGCCCGAAGCCACCACTCAAGGTCTCAGGAGATACACCCTAGACCCAGAAGCCCAGCGAGTGTTGTAGCCTTGCCTGCCTACCCGGAAGAAAGGCCTGAACTTCTCTGCGTCTTCCAATTCACTTGGACCCTGAAAACTTCTCTGTGCTGCCCAATCTTCTTTTCCTTCCCTTCCCTCCCACTCCTTCCCTTCCCCTCTTGCTCTCCTCCCCCTCTGTCCTCTTCCTCCCGCTCTTCCTCCTCCTTCTTCCTCTTCCTCGTGTCTCTCTCCATACTAGGGATTAAACCCAGGGGGACTCGACCACTGAACTACATCCCCAGCCCTTTTTATTTTTTATTTTGAGACAGGGTCTCAAAATAATCGCCCAGGCTGGCCTCAAACTTGCAATCCTCCTGCCTCGGCCTCCCAAACAGCTGGAATTACAGTTGTGCACCACTGCACGGGGATTGTGCTGCTCAGCCATCTAAGTGTTCTTCTATAATGGTACCAGCAAGAGCAAGGAAATAAGGACCCTTGGGTCACCTGTAAAGTTGCTATGGATGGTCTGAATGTGTTCTGTCCCCTCTGAAGCTCATGTTGACAGTTGATTGTCATTGCAGTGGGGTTTGGAAGCGGGGTCTTTAAGAGATGATTAGGTCATTAAAAGGATGACCGCATTCCTTTCCGGAGTGGGTTTGTTCTCATGGGAGTGAATTATTGTAAAGTGAGGTCATTCCTGTGTTCTCTCTCTTCTCAATGTGCCCACTTGTCCTTTTCTGCCGTGTCATGACTCGGCCCTAGGCCGTCACAGTTGCCAGCACCATCTCTTAGATTCTCCAGCCTCCCCAGAACCATCTCAGGTATTTGTTAAACCAACCCAAAATGGACTAAAACGTTCTCAGGGGGTGGGAGCGATGGCACTTGGAGAAGTGAGGGGGCGATACTCTGAGGGAACAGCCCTGCCCTGAGCTGAAGGATCCGTAGGGTACGAGGAAGAACACTGCTCTCAAGACAGACAACGTGGTTCTAGTCTCAGCTCTGCTGCTCTTTGGCCTGTCATTTCTTAATGGGTCCGATTCCTGATCTACAGAAATGAAGATGGGTGACATCAGATTCATGCAGGGCCTCTTCTGTGCGTTCCAGATTCACATATCCCACTGCCTACTCCACGTTTCCCTCAGATGCCTAACAAATAGCTCAAATTCAACAGATGGCCCGATATTTCCTCCTCTCGCTAAAATGGCAACTCCATTCTTCCAGCTGGTCAGGCCAAAGATCTTGGCTCATTGTTTCCCTTTGGATGCGGATGGAACCAGCAAGAAATCCTTTATGGTCCTCTTCAGAACATGTCCAGAGACTGACCACTCTACCCCGCCCCCATCGGCACCCCAACCATCTCAGGCCAAGGTCGCATTGGTCGTCCCTGACCTGGTCTCCCTTGCACTTGCCCTTTCGTCCGAATCCCAGCACAGGTGCCAGGCAGATCTTTTTAACATGGAAGGCTACCCACATCCCTCCTTAACTCACCACAAATAAAAGCAAAGTTTTTGCAGTGGCTACAAGCCTGACCTTACGACCCTGTTTGGGCTCTGACTTAATTTCCCCCTCGTCTGTTCTGCTCTGGCTGCACTGACCCCTGGGTCTCCTTGACCACTCCAGGTAAGCCCCATGGCCCCAGCCCTTGCGTTTGGGATCCCTCCTGCCTAGAATGCTTTTCCCTTTCTCCTTCACCCATATCATGACTGAGCTGCTGCCTTCCCAAGGCGGCCACCCCTCCCTCACCATTCTATTTAAAACGGCACACTCTCCTGGCACCCTCTGCCATTCTGATTTTCTCAACACTTTTTTTCCATCTACTAAACTCTCTTCTTTGCTACCTTATTTCTCATTGCTGCATTTCCCCCCAGATGTTTAAACTACCTTTGCCAGGTGATTTATTTGTTGTTCATTGCTATATACCCAACAGTGCCTGGCACATAGGAGACACTCAATAACTGCGGCTGAGAATGGATGAAGCCACAAAATCAAATATTCCTGAATTCTGCCCGATTATTCTGGAAGTCAAAAATGGATTTATTATGAAGTTAGATCAAGCTGGGTTTCTCTTTTCTCACACTCTTAGCAGAAGCAAGCCTAATGAATGCCCACGAGTTATCCTGTTGAACCCTCACACCAACTCTGTTAGGTAGAGCCTCTCTATTTACCAGATGGGAAAATTGACTTCCAAAGAGATTAAGAAGTCAAAAAGCTAGAAAGCCCCGATCTCCAGCCCATCGGACCTTCCCCCAAAGCAGGAGTTCTTGGTGGCAGCATGTAGAGCCAAATGACCTCCCTAGAAACACCAGGACTGAGCTGAGTTAGGAATCACAGGAATGAAAGGTCTGGGATCACTAAAGATCTCCAAAAAACAAACAAAAACACTTGCTCTGTCAAAACCTTCAAGTATCAGATTACAAAATAATGGGCGTTAGCTGGTTTGTCTCATCTTGTTTGTTTCCTGCGTTTCACAATCTGCCTTGTGATGGTGGTCAGTGTTTACTGTCTATTTCCCCCCAGCAGCTACCCACTCTGGGTACCCGCAGTACCTAGCACAGTGCCTGGCATGTTCTAGGAACTCAATGAATGGATGTACAAACAAATTCAAGTATGGTTCTGCTCATTCGTCAAATCCTGATCAAGCATCTGGCTTGTGCTAAGCATTGTCTGGGATGTTTATAATCTAATAATGGAGGCAGACATCTTTTAAAAAATCACATAAGTAGAAAAAAAAAGTGATCAATGGCATAAAGGAAAGGTGTGGGGTGCTGTATAAGTGTACATAGGTGCCCCTATTTTAGATGGGAGGGAGTCAGTACTACTGTCTCCAGATCTGGAAGATGAAGGGAAGGAGGAGAGGAAATAGCTTATGCTAAGGTCCTACGGAGAAGGAACTGGCCTCCTTGACAGACTGATGATAGGGGTTCCTGGAGCACAACTGTGAGTCCCGTCCTATCAGAGGTAGCCTGTGCTTCCTAGAATCTGTCAAAGGTGGAGGGCAAAGGCCAGCCTGATTCTGACCCTGGGGGATCCAGCTTGGTCCTCAGTGTCTCTGGCTCTAGAATCCTAACCTGGCCACTTTTCCTTGGGATGTGGGAGCGGTGTCTGGCAGCTACTGAGAGGATGGCTCTAGAACCTGCATTGGATGTCAAGGCAGGATGCCAGCAAGGAGGGTTTTGAAGAAGATGGGCTTTGTGTGGCCATGGCTATGGCTGGAGTGGGGCCGATGCACAGAAAAGAATGGCAGCCACTGGCCACTGCTGGGAATCGCACTCTTCTCTGTAACTCTCCCCACCCCCCAAGCAGCCCAGGTCCAGGACTAGCAGGTTGCTGCTAGAAACCTGGCTCTGGTTGGAGGAAGAAGGCCCGGTTGATGGCCGCGGAGACAGCGGTGTGTTTATTCAGGAAAAGAAGTCAGCAGTGGCCCCTGCCAGCTCCTCCCAGAAGGACTGGGTTGGGGGAGCAGGTTTCAGAGGAAGCTGCTCCCCAGCGGCTCTGCACGCCTCCAGGCCAGAAGCCAGAGGCCAGGACTCAGCGGCCGCCCACAGGTAAGGCCTGCGCTCCGGGCGCACCACCGAGCGGGTCCTAGGCTTGATTCCCCGGCAAGCTCCGGTGACACGGTGCAGGGTACGGTGAGCGGGCAGCTGGAGGTCCTTCCCGAGCCCGCTCAATGGTCTCTTTGTGCTTGGCGGTTACCTAGGGAGGGAGAGTGGAGAGTGGGAGGGGCGACCCAACGGCCAGGCCGGCCGCCCGGCGGACACGGGATGCGGTAGGACTTGGATCCTGGGGAGCAGGTCGTCAGAGATAAAGGGGTGGGGGTGAGGTTCTGCGCCCCCCAAGCGGTGCGTCTCCGTGGACCGGCCCTGGAGTCCTCAGGCCAGCAGACAGGTGTGTACCCGGCTGCCAGGAGCAGAAGTGATTCCCCTGGTGGCCAGCAGCCACCGGACAAGGGGAGAGCTACTTGAGGGAGGAGCCAAAGGAGGCAGGTGGGGCTGAGGGCAGAAGGACGCCTGGTCCCCAGCCGCTCGCCCCGCGACCGGAAGGCTCCAGGGGAACCAGATCAGAACTAGGCGAAGAGCCCAGATCTTTTTTTTTTTTTTTTTTTTTTTTTTTTGAGCCCAGGTCTTAAGAAAGGCGGGGAAGAGGGCAGTGGGCCCACCCAGAGCCGCGGCTTTCTTTTACCCGTGTGTGAGCGGATTCGGGATCTGGACTGGTTGTGACCACAGATCTGCCCCCAATAGTACCTCTGGGTCCTAGTGGGTGTGTGGGGCCTCTGCGAGGGGGTGGCCACCTGTAGCCACGGCGAGTCTGCACCTACAAACCGACTGGCCCCGTGCTCCCGTCCTCCCCAGCTTCCCCAGACTTCGCTAGCTCTTCTCCCCTCCCCGCTCAAACAGGGACCGTGCACCCCAGGAGTCTGGGGACCCGGGCGCCGCCGCAGACGGCCAGGTGGTTCGCTCTCAGCATCACCCGCCCCTGGTCCTCTCCTCTCGCGGCCCAGCTTCGCCGTCCGGCCCTCCCAACGGCGACGCTGGATTCGCGCCCCTCGGTCCTGCGGAACCCGAGCCTCCGGCCCCCGACCCGCTCATGTGGCTCCTGGAGAAAGCCGGCTGCAGGCTGGGGGCCGCCGAGCCCGCCGCGCCGAGGGCGCCCCGCAGCCTGCTCCCCGCGCGCCGGGCCCCGGGCCCAGCCCCGTGCGCCTTCCCCAACGTCCTCACCCCCGACCGCATCCCGCAGTTCTTCATCCCGCCGCGGCTCCGGGACCCCGGCGGCGCGCGGCCCCGGGCCGGGCCCCGCGTGGGCGCCCGCAGCCTGCCCGCGGCCTGCTCGCTGCCGCACCTGGCCGGCCGCGAGGGCTGGGCCTTCCTGCCCGAGAGCCCGCACACGCGCCGGCGCGAGTCCCTCTTCCTCTCGCCGCCCGGCCTGGCCGCGGGGCTGTCCCCGGCGCAGTCCCGCCTGTACGTCTCGGCCCCGGACCTGCGCCTCTGCCGGGCCCCCGACAGCGACACGGCCTCGTCGCCCGACTCGTCGCCCTTCGGCTCCCCGCGGCCGGGGCCCGGCCGGCGCCGGCCGCACTCGCTGCCCCGGGAGGAGGCCGCCCCGTCGGAGCGCAGCCCGCCCGCGCCGCCGCTCTTCCACCTGGACGTCCTCTGCTGCCAGCTGCGGCCCACCAAGGACAGCGTGCTGCGCCTCGGGCCCCGCGGCGGGCAGCTCCGGCTCTCGGCCGAGTACCAGGCCGGGCCCGGGCGGCTGCGGCTGCGCCTCGTCAGCGCGGAGGCCCTCCCCCGGCCCCGGGCCGGCCCGGGCAGCGGCGGCGGCGGCTGCTGCGTGGTGCTCCGGCTGCAGCCCCGCGTGCGGCCGCGCGCCCAGCGGAGCCGCGTGGTCAGATGCAGCGCCAACCCCATCTTCAACGAGGACTTCTTCTTCGACGGGCTCGGCCCGCCAGACCTGGCCGCCCGCAGCCTGCGGGCCAAAGTGCTGGACCGAGGCGCGGGGCTGCGCCGGGACGTGCTGCTGGGCGAGTGCGAGACGCCCCTTATCGCCCTGCTGCCGCCCTTGGGTGGGGGGCTCGGCCCTGGGTCTTCTCTGGTGCCCGCCCACCTCAGCCTGTAGACTCTCGGGTTTCCCGCGGGGTCCGCCGTCTCCTTTCTTTCCAGATACTTAGCACGTATTTATTTTTACTAATAAAATGCCCGATTGTCTCTATCACTCCCCTTATGGGCATCCTGCGCTCTGGGGTTGCGATCTACCCTCTTCCTTGACCAGACCACACCCAGGACCAGAAGCTCATCCAGTTTGGGTGAGTTGGAGCAGAAGGCCCAACCGTGGTTCTCCAACTCAGAGGACTTCAGAGTAACCCCACGTCGGGAATGCTGCTCAGACGCAGAGACCCCGGGCAGCATTCTCCAGCAGAGCTGCTTCCGGAAGCCTGGTCTGGGCAGGAGCTAGAGTCCCTGTCCCGTGAGACACCCACACCTTCTAGGAACCCTTTAATCACAGTCACTCTGCAAGAGCTCTGTGACAGAAGCCAACACAAACCACCTTCCCCTCACACTTCCTTGGGGCTGCACAGGGGAAATCAGCCCTGCCCGCCCTACCCCTCCTTTTTTGTACCGGGTACTGAACCCAGGGGTGCTTAACCACTGAGCCACATCCTCAGCCTTTATATTTTATTTTGAGGCAGGGTCTGAGTTGGTTAGGGCCTCGCTAAGTTGCTGAGGCTGGCTTTGAACCCACAATCCTCCTGCCTCAGCCTCCTGAGCTGCTGGGATTACAGGTGTGAGTTACCACACCTGGTCCTACCTACTCCTTAAACTCACATCTTTCCTGAAGACAAATGAAATTTGGGAGTGTGTCAGGGGATGTCAGACTAACACACAGTACCCCTTAACCTTCCTGCCTCCCTCCTGCCTACCCCTTCTATACCTGTGCTGCTCTGGTTGGGGGTCGGGGGTGGGCCAGGCTAGAGTCAAGAAACAGGGCAGCACTTGGATACCCAATGACTGAGAAAGAAGGTCCCTGGGTGGAGATCTGGGGAGGAAGGGTGTGGCCAGAGTGTGAGCACTGTTCTCGGGGATGCCAGAACAGGCTACCCCAGCCAGGAGGAGGAGGGATAGAAAATGAATTAATAAATGTAGGTCAGATTGTGTTTGCCTCCTACCTGAATGTCCCTGACGTCAACAGTGACCTTCTTCTCTCCACCTCCACCTTCCCAGGAACTGGTTCCTCTTGGCTCAGGTCAAGCTTGGAGGAGGGAGAAGGAAAGAAAGGAGGCCCTAGGTCATTCCAGCTCTGGCTCCCTCCCACGTGGGCCCTTTCCCACTTCCCAAGGTGCCAGCTGTGCCCAGGGTTAAGCCTGCTGGGTCCAGACAGCACCTGGGCACCTCAGCACATGCAGTTCTAACATCAGGAAACATACCTCTCCCTTCCAAAGGCGCCCGGTCCCTTCACCTCCCCTGATTAGGTTCCCACCACGTCGCCCTGGGCCCAGGAAACCTTGCTCCAGGTATGTCCACCAGGGGGTAGCATTGACCAAGCAATCAGGAGGCTACAGCTACAGCCGTCTCACACCAACTTGTCCCAGTCGTGTGTCCCTCCCAGCAACCCCATGAGGATGCAAGCACTGCTGTTATCCAATGTGACCTTGGGCCTGACGGAGCTAGTCAACAGGAAATCTAGCACTTGGACCTAGAGAGTCTGCTCCAGAGTCTGGGCTGCCAATTACCTCACCTCAACTGTGGGTTTCCACCTCCCCACCAGGTCGCTCCCCACAGGATCATCCTTCCCCAGGATGGTAGCTCTCGGCAGCTTGCACATGCTTGGCATGTGACCTCTGAGAAGCCCACCTGCTGGTCTAGCTCTATCCCTACTGCTGTATTGTGTCGATTCTTCAAACCCTTCCATTACAACCCTTCCTGAGTATCTGGAAAGAACCAGAAGTGATGAGGCACACTTATGATCCCAGTGACATGGAAGGCTGAGGAAGGAGGATCCCACGTTTAAGGCCAGTCCTGGCAACTTAGTGAGACCCTGCCCCAAAATAGAATGAAAAGGTCTGGGAATTGTAGCTCAGTGAAAGAGTGCTCCAGGCTTAATCCTCAGTACTGGGGGAAAAGAGAGAATGAGATGAAGGAACGCAAGCAGAAACTCAGAGGTCCCATAAAGCCTTCATTCAGGCATTTCTTCAATACTTAGGGAGTGTCTATGGGGATCCAGGCATTGGATCTAGTAGTGATCCAAACAGACGAGAGATCAGACAATCAGACATGTATGTCACTTGGTGATATAGAGAAAAACAAAGCAGGAAAGGGAATAGAAAAGAGAGGGTCAGGTAAAGAGAGGGAAAGAAGATTGTAGGAATAGAGACAAGGAGCGAGAAAACGCAAGACACTTCTTTTAACCTCAACACTTTGTGCCAGGCCCTGAACTTTACCTGGCACTAGTGCATGTTCTTGTACCAGTCACCACCACCACTCAGGAAGGTAGGTATTATTATCTCCACTTTACAAAGTAGGAAATAGATGAGAGAGTTTAAGTAAACTCGCCTGGGGTCAGCCTCGGCCGGCCGCAGGGAAGTTTTCTGACTGTGACTCTAACCAACCCCCCAACCCCGACCCCACCCTGGAGGCTAGGGGAGGCTCTGAGATGGAGGGTCTTCTCAGAAGTTTGCTCAGTCGTCACAGTGCTCCTATGACGGGGGCCACAAAGTCCCCGGAGGAGCCTCCAGGTAGCAAGACTTCAGGATGAAGAAACATGCTCTGGGGGCAAATACACCCTAAGAGCCTGTGAGCAGACTCCCATGCTCGGAAGCCCTGGCACCAACATGGGTCAGGACGGTTGTCATTGCCCCTTTTACTGAGGACCTGGTTTGCCTCAGGGCTCACAGCAAATACAGGGCAGACCACATTCTTCCTAGCCTTTCTGCTCCAAAAATCAGAGCTCCCGCTTCTCGACCCTCCAAGCCCTGTGACTCTCCGTGTTAAAGACTGGATGAGAGGTACAGGCAGGGTCACCGGGAACAGTTCAAGGCCAGAAGCTAGGGTCAAACTCCCACTGTTCCCTCCACCCACAGTGGCCTTTGTGACAGGATGGGGAGGGCTGGAGGCCAGAGATCTGGAGACATAGATGTTTATAGAGCCTGCCAGAGTCCTTTATTTTTTTTAATGATTGACACACAGCCCCCCTTCCTAACTCACTTGGGTGGGTGGAGGTCTTCCCAGGCATGGAGCTCCTAGCACCCAGGAGATGTGGTCCCTAATCCCTGAAGAGGGCCCTGAGCCCCACGTATTTTCCACCTTTACCCCCCAGGCCTCCAGGCAAGGGCCGGCTGGGGCTGAGCTTTAAGTGGTTTCTGTGGTTAAGGGGGTGGGGAGGAAGGGAAGGAGAAGCTGGTGACTGCTCCCCAGTTCCAAGCCACCACCGCCACCTCCGCCCCTGCAGGCTGTTTGCCCCCTGCTTTGAGATTCCCGGGTTTGATAAGGGGTCTGGGCACGTGGGGGGTGAAGTGGTTCTCTGATCCCTATCAGTCTTTTCCTAGGGTAGGAATGTAAGCATGCCTCCAGGAGGAGGTACACTGCCCTGCTCTGAAGGGACTGATTCCTCCCAAGGAAAAAGCCGAGATTGAAGCCAAGGGAGAAGATGAAACAAGACGGGACTTCCCAAAAGAACCTCCCAAAAGAACCCAGCGGCCTTCTAACGCTGGGCAGAAAGAACCCGAGCCATTCGTCCTCAGGGCAGGGAGGGGCAGGTCAGGAGGAGGCTTAGGAAGTCTGTGACTCTGGAGGCCTACAGGTGAGGACCCTGCCTTTCCCAACCCCCAGTCACTTCCTCCCCACCCCACATGACAGGGGAAATGGCAGGACCACACCTGCAGTAACTGGGCCGGTACCTGGGGATGCCCATCTGCAGGCATTCTGCAGGACCTCCACTCCAGGCCTCCGATGTGGGGGAGAGTGTAGTCAGGAAGGGGCCTGGGAGACCCAGAGTCACAGAGGAAGATAGACCGCAGGAGGGGAAGAGATGGAGGGGAGGGAGGAGGCCCTCGGAGCTCAAGGGAAGGGGAGAAGAAAAGGACAGACGCCTCTCTCCCTCCTCTGTATCCATTCCCCTGCCTCTTGCCAGCCCGGCTTGTCAGTCAGAGGGTGCTGGGTGGGACTGCACTTGGCCTCTTATTCCCAAGCTGCCCAGGGAGTAGAGGCCCCAAAGCAACCGACGGACCTCATGTTGTAGGCAGAGAAATGTATGTGGGCCCGAGTTTCACCAAAAAGACCTGGGGAAAATCGGAGCCTGACATCCCTTCAGACTCTCAGTACAAGAAGGGCCTCAAAAGCTTCCTCCATCTCTACCCCCTTGTCAATCACCCTAGGAGCTGGAAAGTCCTTCTCCTCTTCTAACCTTTGTCCCTCAAGCTGCAGCCTAGGGGAGACTCTGGGAGCTACCCGGGACAGAGGTGCTGATGGTGGCAGAGTGTGAAGCTCCAGGGTGGGGCAGGAGTGAGGGATGGTGAGATGGGAGGACAGAAGAGGGAAGGGACAGCTGCCTGCCCTCTCCATGCCAGGTGCCACGTGCACAGGTTGGGGGGAGTGGGCGAGTCACGAGGCGGTGGCGTGCCTGGCCCCTGCTCTGCTGTTTACCAGCTGGGAGAGAGAGCAAGAGGAGGTGCCAGGGAGCCTCCTGCTGCAGCCTGGCCCCCCGCCAGCCGCCTCTTGGGTAACCAGGAGAGCCAGGCCCAGCTAATCAAACTCTGGGCCGAGGCAGGGCAGGAGAACCCGGCGTCTGAGATCCACAGAGGCCAGGTGCCTTGACCATCCCCGGACTCCAGTGCGGCCTCGGTGTGCACAGGCTGGGCTGGGGGTGACATCTCTGCTCTCCTCTGCTCCCCTATTGCACCCCTGCTCCACGCTCCCCCACCCCTTCCCCTGCCCACGTCCTGCCCAGACCCGGAGCCTGCGGAGCCCTGCAGAGACCAGGAGGTCCAGGGAAAGACAGCGGGGCAAAGAAGGCCTTGTCTTCAAGGAACCAAGAGCCCTGGGGGAAACAGGACCCAACACGCCCCTCCCTCACTATCCTCCCCTCCCTCTCTCCCCTGCTCTGGTGGAAACCACAGATGCTGAAGTCACAAGGACCTGGGTTCAAATCCTAGCTCCACCATTTATTGTCTTTGTGCAGGTCTCGGGCAAGTCCTTACGGGAGCATCCCTCGGTTCATTAGCGAATCTGGAATAATCACGCTTCCCTGTGGTGGGTGTCGCGAGGACTCCCACAAGGCAGGTCGTGATTCACACTCAGGATCTGGCAAGGGGCCTAGTACACAGTAGGTGACAAATAAACACTCCTTCCTCTCCTTTGGCTGATTCTGTTTCCCCTCGAGGCTCCACACTCTGGCCCACTCATCTCTCCCATGTCCCCTCCTGGTGCCAGGACGCTCTGCCAGCCACTCCTCTCCCCTGCCTGCTGACGGCCAGGTGTCCCTCCCTCCTCCTCCTCCCTCCCCTGGGCCCTGCTCCCTGCCCTCCTGGGCAGCCAGGGCAGCCAGGACGGCACCCAGGGAGCTGCCCCATGGACAGGGCCCCACAGAGACACCACCGAGCCTCCCGGGGTAAGAGGCCTGTGGCCGTGCAGGCAGGTGGAAGGGCCTGCCAGGAGGCTCAGAGGAAGGCAGAGGTGGGAAGGGAGTGGGGAGGGAAGAGGGCGCAGATGGGCTGGCAGGGAGAGCAGGGGCCAGGCAGGCCAAGTTGACATGGGAGGGCTGTGGGGACAAGAGAGGAGACACAGGAACAGGGGAGCCCCCACCAAGGGGGGAGAATGGGAGAGTGGAGAAGAGACAGGTCGGGTGGGGGAGGAGGGAGAGCAGGTCAGGAAGCTGGCCCAAGTGAAGGGTCAGAACCCGCTGGTCCTCCCAGCAGGTGGAGCGGACACGGCCCCTGGGCAGCGAGCGGGAGGCCGGCCACTCCACCTCACCTCGTTCACTGGGCAGTGGAGGACCTGTCCTGCCTTTGAGGAGTGGCGGGGGAGGGGAGGGTGGCCGCCACACCCTGTCAGCTGCCCCTGCCCAGGAGCCTGGCACTTTCCTCCCTGCCGGCCTGGGAGTGTGAGGTTTCATTCCTGCACGGAACGTGCGTCCCAGGGCCAGGGGAAGGGGACGCTGAGAGCCGGGTAGGCCTTGGCCCGCCGGTGGACTAGGTCAGGCACCCCTGGGAGCAGGACCTCCTGGACACGGCTGGGCTGGCTGTGAGGACCCAGGGGAAGCTGAGGGCCAGAGCTGCCCAGCTCCAAGGCCACCTGGTGGAGGAAGACCAGCTGGCTGCCCGGGCAAGCAGGGAGCACCCACACCGGGGTGAGGCTGGAGGAGGACGGGTGCCACGTCAGTGAGGGAATTGGGTGGAGCCCAGCAGCACTGGGGGCGTGGCCGCTGGAGCAGGTCTTCCCTCCATCCCCGCAGAGCCCTGGCACCAGGTGCGGGAGGCCGACCTATGGACGGCCTCTCCTGGGCAGAGGGGCAGCGGGAGGGGTGGGCAAGATACTGACTGGGGAGGGGTGTTGTGTCCGGCTTGGACAGCAGAGTGACCCCACCAACCACACTCCAGCCAAGACTCCACCCAGCAGCTCCCCAGGGATCTGGGGGTCCCTGCATCCTTGCCAACCCCCACCACCCACCTTGCCCCCTTCTGCCTGGTCTCTACTCAGATCAGAGCAGCAGCAGCAGCAGCAGCAGCACAAGGATTCCTCCCTCTGCCGGCCAGTGGGCCAGGGCAGCCAGGGAAGGGTCTGCATTTACAGATGGCCCCCACATCCCCTCTGCCCCGCCCCCAGCCCCACGTCTCTGGGACCCCCTGGCACTTTCAGGCCCGGATAACCCACCGAGGGATTTCCTTCCCACAGAGACTCACCGTGGTTGGGCTGTTTCCTGTGCCCCTCCAACGTGCCAGGTGCTATGCAGGGTCCTGGGAACGCTGGGACTTCGTAGCACAGGTCATGCACATTTATGGCAGTTAGGTGATGCAGCGGGGGCCGGGCAGTCAGAGGCAAGATGCTGAGTGCGGGGGGGGACCAGGGCAGGGGGATGTCATGGCGGCTTCTCTGAGAAAGAGACATAACCTGAGACCCAAGGGATGAGGAAGGTTGGCTGGGTTGGGGTCATGGAGACAGTCCAGGCAGGAGGAGCAGCCAGAGAAGTCCTGGAGGCTCTCTGAGGAACCGGAGAGGGCTGCTGTGGCTAAAGGACAGAGAAGGAAGCCGAGAGGGCACTGCGGGGCTGGCGCCGCTGCTCAGGTGCCAGGCTCTGCTGGGCAGGCGGAGGTGGGACCCTCTGAGTTGGGGGGTCCCGGGAACTTCGGTCTCTGACCGGGATCCCTGTCTTCTCTTCACAGAGCTACTGGCTGCAAAGAAGACCCATACTTGTGAGTAGGGACTTGGGGACAAGATCTGGTGCTGGGGTGTGGCCTGACAGGACTCAGCAAGGGTCCTAGGAGGTTTGCATAAGAGGTGGGCACAGCGGTTGGGTGGAGGTGGAGGAGCCGGGCAAAGATGGCCCAGGCCTAGAGAGAAGTGGAGCGGGGGTGGGGGGGTGGGGGTGGGGGGGGGTGGGAGGGAGAGATCCAGGGGCAGGGCAACGGGAGGAGGTAAGTAAGGAAGAAGCCGAGTAGCACAAGGGAAGGGGACCATCAGCAGAGCAGAGCAGAGATGCCAGACAGAGCAGGGGACAGGCTCCAGTGCTGGCCCAGGAAAGGGCTGAAATGGAGAGGCGGGGGGCAGGGGTGGCCTCAGAAACTGCCACAGCGGAGGCCCCAGGGCCTGCTCCAGGCTTTGCGGCAGCAGGCCGGGTTTGGTGTTCATCTCTGTGGTTAACACATCCTGGGGTGTGAACAAGCCTGGAGCCAGGCTGTGCAGGACTGAGAGCCCGAGAGCCTGCGTCTCTGTAGGAAATAGAACGGACAGGGACACTCTGTTCCCCCCAGGGCCTGAAAGACTGAGAATACAGCATGTGAGGAGGAGGCTAGTGCTCAGGAAGGACTTCCCAACGGACATTAGCAAGTGAGCATCCTCTCTGGGGACCTCTCAGCACATCAGATCTACTCTCCTTGTTTGTGCAAGAGGCTAGTCCCCCAGAAAGTGTACCCACTCCACCTCAGTCCCAAAGCAGATGCCCAGTATGCCCTCAAGAGGCTGAGGGTACTTTGGAAAAACACTCCATAGGCACGAGCCTGGAACCGAGGAGTCTGGAGGTAGAAGAGGCCACTTCCGCTTCTGCACGGCCCTCACTCGATCGCCTGCTGCCCCTGAGCGCTCCCTGCCATCCCCAGAGCCTCTCAGTGCTGAGCAGAAACCTCTCAGAAGGCAAAGCGTCACCCTGCTCTCTGAGGCTGGGGGACCAGGGCTGGGGACCCTCCAGCATGCGACATCCTCCCAAGTGGGGGGGGGGGGTTTGCTTTCTCAGCACAATCCTGATCGGTGCTTGCCTGCCGCTAGCCACAGGGCCCCACGGAAATGCTGAGCAGGGCCCTGGGAGAAAAGCGGGTCAGAGAGTGACGCGGGCGAGCTGGGGGAAGGGGGCCAGGGACCACATGGGGGTGGGGGGGAGTAGGGGGACTTTTTGGAGCAGCAGGAACTGGGAGACCCCAACCCCGTTCCTATCCTTGATCCCTTACCTCAGAACCCTCAGCGGGGTCCATACCTCCTAGCCTGTCCCTGGTCCCCCGGCCTTTTACAGCTACCCAGAACCCCACCGTGAGTGTCCTCAGGACTGCAGGCTGACAGTCCTTCCCCCAGCCGACTGCCCAGCTCCTGAACCCCCAGGAAGGCCAGCAGAGAAAGACTTTACCTGGCTGAGATCAGAGCGATCCAGGAGTTTGGCCCAGTGAATTCAGGAGATGTGAAGGCCCGCCCCAGGTCAAGGAGCCGGGAAACGACCCTCTAAATTGAAACAATCCCAAGAAGGGGACCCAAGATGAGGAACCCATGGGGGACCCCAGACCAAGAGGGACCCTGAGGAAGGACCTTCCAAGGCTAAGGTACCCCACAAAGCAGATAGGAGGCTAAGAGGGTCACTGAGATTGTTTGGCCAGTTAGTAGGACCCCCAGACAAAGAAAATCTACAGAGAAGCTCACATGGTAAGAGACCTCCCAGGCTTGAAACACCCTCAAAAGCAAACCTTCCCTCCAGTGTGATCTGGAGCCAATCTGCCTGGGCTTGAATTCTGACTTTACCCCTTACTTGCTGGGTGACCTTGAGCAAGTTACTTAAATCCTCTGTGTCTCACTTTCCTCATCTTTGAAAAGGAGATAATGGTAGCTACCTCATAACGCGTTTTGTGAGGGGCCTGGGGTAGTGGCTCAGTGGTAGAGCGCTTGCCTAGCACGTGTGAGGCACTGGGTTCCATCCTCAGCACCACATAAAATAATTAAATAAATTATAAAGGTCAAAAAAATCTATTATTTTTTTAAATAAGTATTTTGTGAGGATTAGATAATCCACGTAAAACATTTAAGGCCATTTCTGGCACGCAGTAAGCACTATTACTGAGAGGTGGATGATGATGGTGATGATGGTGATGATGGTGATGATGGTGATGATGATCTGCATTTCAATTTTAGTAATTAAGCTCTTCAGGAAATTTCTAGTGGACTAACCCCTCCTTGCAGACCAGGGCATTTGCCTGATGCTCCCATTAGTTCCGTGTTTCCCTAGCCCCGGGTGTACATCACACCTGTAGGAGGAGTGTGGGTGTGGCAGGGAGTTGGGGAGACAGTCTCCCCAACCACACTACACTGGGCGCAGCTGTTGGCAGTCTACAGGGTCTCAGGTGGCACCTGCCACCAACCCGGGCACACATCCTGTGACTTACCTCTGGAACATCCCTGTCCCTGGTGTCCCCTGGCAAAAAGGGTCAGGCTCGGGGTCCTCAGGGAGAGGGGAGTGGGAGCCTGGCCCCGTGTTCTCGAGCTCCGCCCTGGCTCCCCAGCCAGAGCTACCCTGGCGAGTGGAAACAGCTTTGACTGCGTGTGGCTGTCGCATGTGGTTTTGGAATTTTCCAACGCCCCCTATGATTGGCTGCCCCGCCCCTCACACCCTGCCCCAAGCCCAGATTGGCCACGTGGGGCGCCTGTCATCCTACCCACTGCACCCCTGGGGGGAGCGGGGTGGGGGGTTGTCACTTGGCCACCTGTGTGGTGCAGAGTTTAAACCCCCTGCCCAGAAGCCTTGGGGGAGAGCTAGGTGCAGAGCCGCAGCCTGAGGCACTGAAGGCCCCACCACCTCCGCTGCCAGCTGCGCCCCAGCCTGGACCAGCCCTGCCCAGGACAGGGTGCCGAGGCGGCAAGGCCAAGGCTCAGTCATGAGAAGTAAGTGGACGGGGCTGGGAGCCTCTGGGAAGGAGGCGGTTTGGGGGACAAGCTGAGGATGCCTCCCTGGCTGGGTGTGTCCTGGTCAAGGCCAAGAGCCAGGGAGGTGGGTGGAGTAGGTAGGGAGTCCCACTCCCCAGGCAGCTCCCTCACCCACCGCTAAAGGACGGGTGAGGAGCTCCCCCGTCAAGAGGTTTGGAAAGTGTCTGAGGTCTCCAGGCTCAAAGAGAGGCTGAGCCCCCGCGAGAGGCGGTGCTGAACCTCAGAGCACACAGCTGGGAGCCCACGGAGGCTGGTGACTCCCAGGGCCCTGAAGGAACTCGCGGGTGACCCAGCGGGTGCGCACCTGGCTCCTGTTTCCCCCTGTGCCTCCGAGCTTTTGGTGAGTGGGGCCTACAAGGAGGCCGGAGGAGCAGCTGAGGCCCGAAACAGGACAGCAAGAGTAAACGAAGGCTGCAGGAGTGGGGGTCAGAGTCCCAGCGTCTGGGCCCCAGGGTCATCACACTTCCTGCCCCCCAGGGACATGAGGACCAAGTGTGATCCAGGCAGTGTGGGTGTGTGTGTGTGTGTGTGTGTGTGTGTGTGAGTGTGAGTTCCTGCAGGTCCATTTGATGGGGATGAGGGTAGTGGAGATGGGAGCAGAGAGCGCTCGGCTTCACTCCCTTCCTGGCTTGGAGCCCTGAGCCCACAGCTGGTGGGCAGATGTCCGGAGGCCCTGTGTCTGCCAGCTGAGCCAGGGTGGCAGATCTCGTCAGGGCAGCCAGAGAACCTCTCAGAGCCCTGGGTGAAGGAGGAACAGGCAAACCTGTGTTCCTGTGGCCTGAGGCCTGAGGCAGCCCCAGCTCTGACCCTGGACCTTCCCACAAGCCACAGAAGGAAGGCCATATTGGGCCCCGGAAAGACCCAGGGACTGAGCGTCTAATGACCAGGGTCTGGTGCCACCTCTATTACTACCTAGCCATGTGACCTTGGGCAAGTTAGTGGGCCCTGGTCTCTTGCTACAAAACAAGGTAGTCAAATTTAAAAGCAAAATAAAAACCAACTACGGATAGTCTTCCAGTGTTTTTATTTTTTTTACTTTTTTGGTACTAAGGATTGAACTCAGGGGCACTCGACCACTGAGCCACATCCCCAGCCCTGTTTTGTAGTTTATTTAGAGACAGGGTCTCACTGAGTACTTGGTGCCTCACTTTTGCTGAAGTTGGCTTTGAACTCACAATCCTCCTGCCTCAGCCTCCCCAGCCACTGGGATTACAGGCGTGCGCAGTTTTAAGAGCCCAGGATCAGGGACAGAGACCTGGTCCCCAAGTTAGGCGTCTCCAGGGGCAATGAGAGAGACTCAGCTCTCACAGAAGGAAAAAGCAAAGGAGGCCACACCAAGATAAAGTCTCTACTCCCGTGATCAGGCGGGAGCTGCGAGAGAAGATCCGAAACCTTCCAAACCCTTCTGTTCCCCCTCTAGCTCCTCCCCATGGGCAGCAAAGGTTGGAAGCTGGTCTTCCCAGAAATGGCCCCAAATCAGCCCATCACCCCTAGGTAGGGTGCCATGATTGGGTGTGTTTCAAGCCCAGCAGGAGGTCAGGAGTCCCCGCAGTGGCTGAGGGAGACACGGGGGCAGCTCTGCATGGTATCCACTCCCCACCACACACACACAGCCCCACTCAGGTTTTCTTTTGTTTTGGGTGTAGGGGGGTTCCGGGATTAAACTCCGGGGCACTCGACCACTGAGCCACATCCCAGCCCTATTTTCTATTTTATTTGGAGACAGGGTCTCGCTGAGTTGCTTAGGGCCTCACTTTTGCTGAGGCTGACTTTGAACTCGCTATCCTCCTGCCTCAGCCTCTGGATCCACTGGGATGACAGGCCTGTGCCACCGCGCCTGGCTTACAGCTCCACTCAGGCTGGCTGGTAGGAGAGGGTCTCCTCCAATTTGGAGGTCGTGCCACTGGTCCTTCTCACCTAGGCATCTCTGAGTATCCCAGAGCCCCATGTTCTGACCCTAGTGAGTGCCTGTCACCACCAGCTGGGGCGAGTCAGGGGCACAGGCTCAGGACTGTAACACACCTAAAGACCAAAGGCCAGACACACAGGAGCAGAAACAGCCCATGAGATAGAGACGCAGAGGCTGAGCTCCAAGGACAGGACCCAGAAACACACAAGGCAGACCTGACATCAGGGAGGAGGTGTGGGAAGGAAACACAGGTCGTGGAGACGGGAAGCCCAGAGATAGCTGGAGTGTGAAGCTCAAGGCACAGCACAGAGGTTGGAGGGAGTCTGCCAGCCACAGGGAAGGGCGGCCTGCACCTCACCTCAAGGGGCACAGCAAACGTGGAAGGAGGCCTTAAGACCCTGGTACTGGGCCTGGGCTGGAGAAGAGAGGCCAAGGGGCGTGAGGTTACGTCCAGCCTTGGCTCTGCGCTCAGCTTCAATGGGGTCATGATAATGAGGAGCCATGGGCCGGAAAGAACTCCCAGTCCCCAGTGTCACAGATCTCACCCTGAGGGTCCAGGCCACCCAAGGACTTTATGAAGGGCTTCCTCCTTCCTTCCATCACTCCTGCACCGTCCTCTCTTTTTTCCTCCCATTGCAGCCCAAGGTGCAGGATGCGCAGGCCTGGCCTCCGTCACAGTGAGAACCGGGGCTCACGGCCACCCCTGCTGCTGACTCACACTAACAGGGAGCAGGGACTTTCCCATGCTACGAGCTCCCCAAGGAGGACAGCCTGGGTCTCTCTGCGTCCCCAGTGGCTAGTCCTTTCTGAAATGCAGCCTCCGCAGTGCAGCCCCTTCCCGGGAATTCCAAGGCTCCAAAGGGCTGGGGAGGCCCATGGGGAGGACGGACAGTCACAGGGCAGGGCCTCAGGGCCAGCCTCTCTGGATCCATGACTTCCTGGAGCCGCAGAGGGCACCCTGGGAAGGCAGGCGAGGGTCCTGGAGGCCGAGGAGGCCCCTGGCAGTGAGTGGGGGCTCCTCAGCTTCCTCGGGTGATTCATCCCCTCCCCCATCCACTGGTTGTTTTCACTTGATTCTTCTGTTTCCCCTCCTTCCTCCTGTCCCAGACTGCGGGGGCGGCGGGGGCAGCAGGAGAGGGTTTCAGGTGGCTGCCTGTCTTATTTCAAAACCCCAGACTCTCCCTCGCCCACCTGAGTTTTAGCTTCACTGTTTTCTCAGCTCTAGGATCGGGCACATTAGCAGAAAATTCTCCTCAGGGGTGGGGGGAGGGCCCTGCCTGGGTGGGGTGGTGTCAGCCAGGTACCGCGGTGGCACTGGCCCCACCTGGGCCTCCCTCTCCTGCTCCACTGCGGTGGCGCCCACCACCTTGGTTTCCAGCTTTGCAGAAGCTGGGGGAACTGAGAGCTGAGAAGGAGGCAGGCTGGTGACAGGTGAGGGTCACAGGGGACCCTGGCTGGAGCTGTGGTCTCAGTGGGAAGAGAAGGGGCCCGGGCTAAGAAAGGGGCTGCGTTCCTATTTCTTACGCATTCATCCATTCATTCATTTCTGCAAAGAGAAGCCTCCCAAGAGGGAAGCCCAGTCCACAGCCTCCGGGAGCAGTGATTGTCCCCACTCTGTGGCCATGGACAACTTGTCTGATGTTGGTCCGAGAAAAATGAACCAGGGCAGGAGGGGCTGTGACCATGCAGGGACAGCTGGGACAGAGGGACTGTCCCTCTGGGTCTTTGTACCGGACATGAGCTTCGGTTCTGGGGGTCTCCTCCCTGAATTCCTGACCTAGCTCCCCAGTCTCGCTCACAGGTGTCTCCTGAAGCCAATGGCCTCTCCCACCGTGTTCTTGGTGCATCCGGGTTTGGTGCGTGGGGTTTATAGCGTGATGGTTGAGGGCTCCAGAGTGACAGACACCTAAGTTCAAATGCCACATCTGCCCCTTCTGGCTGTGTAACCTTAATCGAGCCACCTTTTCTCGGTAGGCCTGGGTTTTTCTCATCTGTGAAAAAGGGATGGTGCGAGTTGCACCTATGTCATGGACCGCCGTGATCATTACAAATATACGCAAAGTCTGGCATGGAGTAAGACTGCAACCCAGGAGGAACAGGCCTAGCCTCAGACCGGCAGGACTCCGCCTGAGAAGAGATGGGGACCCCAGGGTTCCTCCGTCTGAACTGTTCTCCACCTGCCTAGGGCTGTTCCGGAGTTTGAGGGGCGAAATCCCCCTGGGTTGTAGCCCCTCCTCTGCTCCTACCACTTCCTCTCTGTGGCACAGGGCACCTGGACAGGGCCCAGAGCCAAGCTCTGGATACATTCAAAGAGCACTATCAATGAATCTCGCAGCTGCAAGAGGGTGAGGTTAGAGGAGTTTGGGGGCAGAGGAGGTTTTCCTCTACCATATTTCTCCTTGTAAGAGCTTCTCTAGGAGGATGCTCTCCGGAGAGCCTCCCATCTCAGGAGCAAAGCAGAGGAGGTTCGTACCCTTTTACACTGTGTTTTGCTTTGGATTTTTTGTGCTCCTGGGTATCAAACCCAGCACCTCACACAGGCTTGGCAAGTGCTCGACCACTGAGCCACAGCCTCAGCCCCTCATTTTCTTTTTCTAGGACTGCATCAGAATGACGTTCTAAAGGTACCCTGGGTGTCAGGAAGACACAAGAACGAGCTCGGTGAACTGCAGGGTAGCTCAGAGGTAGGGCTCGGACTTAGCATAGCTGAGGCCATGAGTTTAGTCCCAGGCACCAGAAAGAAAAAAAAAAAAAGAAAGCGCTTAGGAAGAGATTGTCAGCCCTACTGGTCCCTCAGGGAGGAGCAGCCTGCAGGCAGAGGGACTAAGTTCTTGCTACTCAGACCAGCAAACTTGGGGAGCCATTGGGAGCTTATTAAAATGAAGAATCTCGAGCCCCACGTCAGCTCTCCTGAGCAGGAACCTACTTTTTGTTTTGTTGTGGGGTTCCGGGGATCAAACCCAGGACCTCGTGCATTTCAGGCAAGTGCAGTGCCACCAAGCTACATACATCCCAGTCCCCAGGACTGGCTTCTAACCAAGTCCCCAGGTGCTCTGGTTTGAGAGGTAAAAGGCTAGATCATCCAGTCGCCACCATTTAAGGAGCCGTCATGTGTCCCTGGGCTTTTGTCTCTCCTCTTGGAAACGAGGAACTGGCGGGATTTCTTCTGGGAAGCCTTAGGAGACAGCTGCAGGGGAGAGACAAAGATCTTCCCAAGGAAGCAGTGAGGGAGGGGGCAGAGACGGGGCTGCTGTGGGAGCCGGGGAGGCAGGGGCTGGCCTCACGGTTCCTGACCTCTGCTGGGCTCCAGTTCCTGGCACTGTCGGGCCGTAAGATGGTAAGTTCCTGGCAGGCCAGGCTCCCAGGCAACAGTCTGAGTAATCGTGTGATTACTCACTCCCCCTCCCCAATCTGGGTTCCCACCACTTGCTGCCTCGGGGGCTGGCTGCAGGGGTGGGTCTTGAGGAGAAGTTATCGAGGTGCTTCTCGGCTCCTCTCATCACCCCCCACCCCTGCCAGGCCCCTTCCCATGCCCCCTCCTCCCCTCCTCCACAAGTCACAGACACTCGGCACCCGGTACTTTCTCTTTGAGGTTTAGGGTGGATGGCACTGAAGGGGGTGCAGGTGGCAGGGGAAGGGAGGAGGACGGAGGCCTGACGGTGTTGAGGGCTGGGCGTAGGGCCAGGACAAAGCATGAGTTTTCCTGTGACACCTCAGATGAGTGGCCCCTCCGTCACTAGGTCTGTCTCTGGTTTTGTTTTGTTGTTTTCCCAGTCCCCAAACTCAGACAGATGGGAGGGTATGATCCTTGGAGCCAGACTCACGGTGCACTTCTGCCTGGGGCTGTGGTTGGGGAAGATGGAGGAGAATCTGGCCTGGTAGCTGGGGTCGAAGGCTCCTGTGTCCCCCAAATGTCAGTACTTGTCCTTGTGTGACCACACTTTCCATGAGAAGGACCAGGTCTTGGTGACACCATGGTGAGGTTTCTAGGGCCAGGACCAGCAGTGGGTCAGGTGTGGGGTATGGAGGTATGTCTGGGGTCACCCGTGTGGTCAGCTCACACACGCATGCGGATGTGGCTCTTGGAGAAGGGAAGAGACAGGGAGGCCTGTGGTTGGCTGCTGGGCCGGAGCCCGAGTTCCCACCGTGGCTTGGCCTAATCTCCTTCCCGCTTGCTTTTTTGGGTGACCCACGTTGGTTTCCCCCCCTTTGGCCTTTAGGTCACTGAGGAGAGAGATACCACAGTGTTGGAGGGGAAGGTGTTGGGCGAGAGCAGAATCTGTGGGGCCCAAGCGCCTCTCACGGTCCCCATATGTCCACAGGTTGCTTTGCTTCACTTCAGTCACCTGGCAGACACTGCTCTGCCCCTCCGTGGGTGTCTCTGGTGACGTCATTTATCATGCTGTACTACCTGGGGTCACCCCAGGGACTGGCAGTTTTTTTTAATCTTGATCTCATTGCCGGGTGGAGAGAGAATACGACTGGAAGCTCGAGCCCCACGTTGTGCCCTCTCTTCTTTACTGTTTTCTCCTCCGTCATCGAAATCTGATGGTAATTTCCTGGAAAGAATCTGAAAGCCTCCTTTGCCATCTGGTCCTGGCGTGACCACAGCTCACTGTGCCGGTGCTGGGCGGCGAGTGCCACTTAGGGTGGGCAAAGGACCGAGATCCAGTGGGAAGATTTCAGACCCCCATGTGCCCTGTCCCCAAGAGGAGGCCCCTGCACACTCTGACTCAGCTCAAGGCTGGCCTGCGAGGACGGTGGCTTAAGGGGAGTGGAAACAACATTTCAGGAGAGAGGGGAGGGCAAGCCAGGTCTCCCTCTCCATCTCACATCAGCAGGCCCTATGTGTGACCAGGGCCAGGCCTGAGACTGGGCAAGAGCTCACAGGAATGTAGATTTTCCTGCCAAGGGACACTTCCTCTGCCCTTTAGGATGTGAGATGTGTCACAGATGAGGAGCTTTGACTCTAGACCATTCTTCCAGCTCCACCCCTGGCCTCCCCACTCAGAGGGGAAGCCAGCAGGTCAATTATGGTGAAAAAGAGACCCCTGTGTCCTCAAAAGTGCTCCTCGGCACCTGAAATAACCAGGGATCCCAAGCTTTGTCCAGGTACCTTTCAAGGATGGGCTAGGAGAAGGCCTGTGGCCAGTAGCTGGGAACTCAACAGAAAGTCCTGGGCATTACGGAGGACAGGAGCCTGGAGCCAACAGCAGACCACAGGGGAGGGCCAGCAGGCAGAGCAGGCTCAGCACACAGATAGACGCATGTGAACACTGCTACAAGCAAACATGCCACACACACATACACTCACACACGCACAGGCACACCTTCAAACATGCCCACTGGTAAGTGTGTCCGGAAGCCACATACACAGAAGAGCATAATGGACAGCTTAAGGGCACAGAGATAGAGGCTCTCAGGCAAACCAGCTGTGTGACGGGCCCTAGTCCTTCATCCACCAAGTGAATGGGTGAGAATGAGATGGTCTCTAACAGGCATGATCTGTTGGACGCAGATGCCTTTGTACACACTCTTATATGCTGAGACACGGTCACCTCTTTCTGCTCTAGGGCCAATGGCCTATGAGCCCTACTGGGTTCTCGCCCTGGGCTCCGAGGCATCCAGCAGGGCTGGGTTGTTGAGCCCCGCTTTCCTGGGCTCCATCTCTAGCTCCTTCCTAGCCTCTCCAAATCCACCCTGTGAACCCCACTAGGGGCTCCTGGGCTCTGTGCAGCCCCTCCCCAGCCTTCACGTCTGGCTGAGGATGGCCCGGCACCTGCTGGGTGCACACATCTTCCTGCCATGCCCCACACTCTGTCATGGGGGCCAAGCCCCAGTGGGGGAGGGAAGCACAAAGGAAGCCCCTCGCGCGCGCGGGAAGCAGGTGCTGCGAGGCAGTGAGTCTCCTTGGCCCACGGCAAGAGGGGCAACCCGAGCTGCTCGACTTTACGGGCTGAGCAGGTGGCTTCCCTGCAGCTGCTCTTTCGGCCTCTACAATGCTGATCCGACTCCCCCAGCTGCCCCTCCAAGCCTCTCCTCTGTGAAACAAAAGAAGCCTCTTCAGGCCCTTTGCTGAGAAGCATTTGCCTCTTGGCTTCTCCTTCCACTTTGCAAGGAGTGAGCAGGAGCTGGCTGGAGAAGTCAGGGGGGCACCCAGCCGCAGCCCAGCTCCGTGGTGGAGGAGAGCAGCAAGACTCCTGCGCTGACCTCCTTCTTTCTCTCTTCCAGCACAAATTGAAGTAATCCCTTGCAAAATCTGTGGGGACAAGTCGTCGGGGATCCACTACGGGGTCATCACCTGCGAGGGGTGCAAGGTGAGTCGTAGGCGGACGTATCAACACACACGCACACAGACTCTCTCCAGGGATGGAGGGCAAGGGGCTTAAAGGTGTCCTTAGTGGTGCTTCCTTGGAGGCCCTGAGCCCTGGAGGGCATCCTCTTAAGCTGGGGAAGTGATCGCAGCACAAATAACAATTAACCCGAAGAAATGGAGGCGAGAAAGGCGGGTACGTCTGGGGGTGGGGAAAAGCAGGAGCCAGTGTTTGCGGCTGGAAGCCCCTAGGACAGAGCTGGCCAGGATGAGAAGTCGGGCCTCCCCTCCTTCCCCAGGGCTTCTTCCGCCGGAGCCAGCAGTGCAACGTGGCCTACTCCTGCTCCCGGCAGCAGAACTGCCCCATCGACCGCGCCAGCCGCAACCGATGCCAACACTGCCGCCTGCAGAAGTGCCTGGCGCTGGGCATGTCCCGAGACGGTGAGGTCCCCGGAGCCGGGCTGGCCTGCCCGGCGCCCTCCACAGTCCCTCTCCGATCCTATCCTAGGACACAGGACTGTGGCTGGAACAGGACCAGAGCCTGAGGATGACCTAGAAGCAGGGGCATGGTGGGCGGTACTGGGTTCCTAGGGCTTGATCCACCCTCCTCACCACAGCCGCTTGCGGGTCCCCCTCACGCCCCCCCACCCGGAGAAAGCCCAGGGTGGGGTCAGGGGGTGCATAAGACGATGGGGAGCCAGAAGGAGCCTGTCAGCACTTTTCAGTGCTCAAAATAACAAAGTGAAAGAAAGGAAACATGCAGGGTGCAAGGGGCAGGCGGGGCAGGGGGCTGTGCCCCCACACCTGGGAGGGGTGGGGGAGTGAAAAGGCAGGAAAGAGAGAGCAGAAGAGGATGTTCAGAAGCCAGCCACGGAGCCGGGTTGGGCTGTGGTGAGTATCTAGGTCACCAGGGAGCCTGCAGCCTGACCACAGGGAGACCTGTGTTCTCAGCCCTCTTCTTCCTCTGGCCCTCACAGATCGCGAGCTGACCCCGATTACAACCTGAGGCCCCCTCTTCTTGATCCCCCCCAGCCCCGATCTCAGGAGGCCGGAATCCCCAGCCAAGGCCCACGGCTTAAATTCTGCCATTATATGAAACTGGTTTACAACTTAGAAGATGTAGTTCGGGGGACGGAATTGGCAGCCAGGACAGATTCTGAAAGGGACAGGAGTCAGGGGGTGGGAGGAGCCTTGAGCCTCACTTCCCAAAAGGGAGTACAAGGCTGGAGAGCTGAGCTTGGGGTCGGGGAGCGCCAGGTCCATCCTATGGTAGCCCGGTGCCTGTCGACTCCTCCGTGAATAGCGTCTTCTGCCTCCTAAACTCCCGGTCCCTGTACTTCCTCCAGCCGTCAAGTTCGGCCGCATGTCCAAGAAACAGAGGGACAGCCTCCACGCAGAAGTGCAGAAGCAACTGCAGCAGCAGCAGCAGCAGCAACGGGAACAAGTGACCAAGACCCCTCCAGCAGGGGGTCGTGGAGCGGATGCCCTCACCTACACCTCGGGGATCCCGGATGGACAGCTGCCTCTTGGCGCTTCACCTGACCTGCCTGAGGCCTCCGCCTGTCCCCCTGGCCTCCTGAGAGCCTCTGGCTCTGGGCCATCGTATTCCAACCACTTGGTCAAGGCAGAGCTCAGTGGGGCCTCCTTCCACCTTGAGTACAGCCCAGAGCAGGGCAAGGCGGAGGGCGGAGAGGGCATCTACAGCACAAGCAGCCAGCTGGCCCCTGGCAGATGCGGACTTCATTTTGAGGGACCCAGGCATCCTGGGCTTGGGGAGCCAGGACAGGGTCCAGATGGCTACTACAGCCCCAGTTTCCACAGCATCCCAGAGGCACCATATGCCTCCCTGACGGAGATAGGTGAGCAGCTGCGGAGACCGTGGGGTGGTGAGGACCAGGGAGGAGCTTCTGCCAGGAGCCCTGTCGACCAAACATGAGCGCCAGGGAGTGGGGGTTCAAGGCAGGAGGCAGAGAGGGAAGCGTCCTTGTGTGGGCCGGGGAAGGACTGGCTGACATCAAGTGTGCCTTCTTCTTGCCCCAGAGCACTTGGCACAGAATGTCTGTAAGTCCTATCGAGAGACCTGCCAGCTACGGCTGGAGGACCTGCTGCGGCAGCGCACCAGCCTCTTCTCCAGGGAGGAGGTGACCAGCTACCAGAGGAAGGTGAGGTCAGGAGACCGAGCATGAAGCATGTCACCATCCCTGAGGGTCCAGAGATGGCTACCTGCGCACCCGGTGTGGGGGGGGGGGGTAGGCAGGGAATTGCAGAGAGACGCAGGCTGCCCAGCAAGTGTGCGTGCCGCTTTTAACTGCGGGTGTGCGTCTACATGTCCGTCTAAAACTTGGCGGATGATGACTCGGAGCTTTTCCCTGGCCGCTGCCTATCAAAATTTCACGCAGTTTCAACTGAACCTCCTCCACCACCCACCTTCACGTGCTCCTTCTTGCCCCTCTGTTGGTAGCAACAATAATCAGAAGCCTGAGGACTGATGGTTAAACACCCCTTTTCTGCCAAGCATTGTGCTAAATGCCTCACACAGATTATCTTCGACCCTTCCAACTGTCAGACTGTGAGGGTGGCCTTTATTCCTTTGTGCCCCCACTCCCTTCGCACTGGGGATCGAACCCAGCAGTGTTTAACCACTGAGCCACATCCCCAACCCTTTTTTATTTTGAGGCAGGGTCTCACTAAGTTGCTGGGGCTGGCCTCAACTTGGAATTCTCCTGCCTCAGCCTCCTGAGTTGCTGGAGGAGCGAATCACTGCACCTGCAACGTTTATTAATATTTTTAACAAACTAGGACACTGAGTTCAGACAGGTTAATAGACTTATTCAAGATCACAAGCGGTAAAGCCAAAGTCAAATTCAGATTCATCAGGCATCAAAGTTGATGTTATCTTTTCTGTTACACTCTGACAATACCGCCTGCTCTAAAAGCACTCGTTTGGCACTTCACATTTGCTTCTCTAGGTTATCAAGACCTTGATTATGTCCTCTTTTGGATTGGGGGGAAACTCGACAAAATGCAAATTGTCTGAGGATAGAGCTCTATCTCATACATTTTTTATTTCCCCCCAATAGCAGCGCCAGGAGCTGGTGGGTGCTTAGTAAGTGCGACTGACTGACGGGAATTGACCCCTAAGTGCATTTTTGCTAAGAATAGGCTTTTTAAAATGCCAGTGTTAGCTGGGCACGGTGGCACACACCTGTAATCCCAGGGACTCAGGAGGCTGAGGCAGGAGGATCACAAGTTCAAGGCCAGCCTAGCAATTTAGTGAGAACCTGTGTCAAAATAAAACAGGCTAGGGGTACAGCTCAGTGGTAGGATGCCCCTGGGTGGTGCAATCCTTAGGGAGTTCAGAATCCTTGGCAGGGAGGGCAGAGGTTTGGGAGGGTCAGTCGCCATGTTCCACCGAGGGCTACAGCCAGATCTCCCTCCCCCTGCAGTCGATGTGGGAGATGTGGGAGCACTGTGCCCACCGTCTCACTGAGGCCATTCAGTATGTGGTGGAGTTCGCCAAGAGGCTCTCGGGCTTTATGGAGCTCTGCCAGAATGACCAGATCGTCCTGCTGAAAGCAGGTGTGCAGGAGGGGTGGGCAAGCCCAGGGGAGGGGGGACAGGGCCAACGCAGAGGGAGGTGGCCTAAGGAGATCAGGACCCTGAGGGTGTCAGAGACGGATTCCCAGCTTTGCTTGGTGCTGCCTGTCCACTGTCCTCCCCCCTCCAGGAGCAATGGAAGTCGTGTTGGTCAGGATGTGCCGAGCCTACAATGCTGAGAACCACACAGTCTTTTTTGAAGGCAAATACGGTGGCGTGGAGCTGTTCCGAGCCTTGGGTGAGGGGCAGGGGGAAATGAGAGAGAGGATTCTCATGCCAACCCCATTCAGAGTTTTGTGACTCGGGCACCCTCTTTGCAGGGTCCACTGCCGCTTGCCCCCCAAACACCCAGAGGGCGTCGTCCTGGGCACCACAGTCTCCCCCACCTCTCTCATTCTCTCATTTTCCTTCCATCAGGCTGCAGCGAGCTCATCAGCTCCATCTTTGACTTCTCCCACTCCCTCAGTGCCTTGCGCTTTTCTGAGGACGAGATTGCCCTCTACACAGCCCTTGTTCTCATCAATGCCAGTGAGTGCCACCAGGCTTGGGGAAGGGACTCTTAGGTGGTGTAGGCACAGCAGACACGGAGGAGCCCGGGCCTTCTGATGTGGTGAAGTCTGGGAGATTGCTTGAAATCGCAGAATGAGCCTGCTCAATAGTGCTATCAAATAAAATGAGTTAAACTGAAGATTTAGTGGTGCCTCGGAGGAGCACGGGAGCAGCACAGGGTGGGGCTGCAGAAATGGGGATCAGTGAAGCTGAGAGGAGAGGAGCCCCTTCCATGTAGAAATCAATCTGGCTGTCGGTGTAGGTCAGAGGTTCCGCTGTAGCACACATTGGAACCACCTGGGGAACTTTAAAAGTCTATTGGTGCCTGGATTCCACTTCCAGAGATTCCAGTGTAATTGATCCGGGGTGCACCCAAATTTTTAACAGCCCACCCCAGGCCGCCAGGTTGAGAATCACTGTTCTGTGTGAATTCATTTGGAGACGGTATGCCTGCAAGGCGGGACTCTGGATATCCACTCCACTGGGCTGGAGAGGGCTGGGCTGAGCCAGCTGAATGCTAAGCGTTCCAAGAACCCGGGGAAGTGGGTCTGGCTTGCTAACCTGAGTTTGCAGATCAACAATATCAGTCTTCTGGCTCTGCCAGTAAGTAGGGACCTAAACATGCTCCTGGAACTAGAGATACAACTTTAAAGGTGACGGCTGGATATTTTAAGGAAGTGGGGCAAAACGTGGTTTGGGTGTTGAAGTTAGCCACAGATGGCTGCAGAGGCCCTGGGTGGGCCCAAGTGGCTTCAGAAAGGCTATCTCCTATCTGGAACCATTCTTGTCTGGGGGCAGGGAGCCCTCTTCCAACCCTTCCATAGCTCCCAGGTCGAATCCTGGTGCCTAACATTTAATGGGCCATGGGAAATGCCAGGTAACCCAAGAGAAGGTAGCTGGGAATTAGGAGGTGAGAAGTTCCCATTCCTTTCCTCTCTCCCCAGTTTCTCTTGGAGACAACTAGCCAAGCCCAAGGTCCCAACACACACACACACACACACACACACACACACTCAGATAAGATGGCCTCTCTCCAGTAGATATCCAAAAGGTACAACACGCCCTTTTGCTGGAAGTGAATGTCCATGTTCTCTCTGATCTCGCTCCGGTCCTATCCCCTCCTTCAGATCGGCCAGGGCTCCAAGACAAAAGGAAAGTAGAACAGCTGCAGTACAATCTGGAGCTGGCCTTTCATCACCATCTCTGCAAGACTCATCGCCAAGGCATCCTGGCAAAGGTAGGCGCAGTCCCTGGGGTAGAAGAGGCCAGGCCCTGGGCCAGATCTGTGACATCAGAGCTGGTGACATCAGGGCCAGGGTCTGCGGGTGCAGAGGAGAGTGTGCTAGAGTGCCATGTTGTGTCAGAGAGCTTGCAACAGCCGTGGGAACTGAGGGGTCGAGCAGCGACTTGTGTGTGCACAGAGATGGAAAGTTAGGGAGCCTGGAACTGGGAGGCACCTCCAGGGAGCAATTCAGTTTAATATAGCCAACACTTACCGCACCTGCTTTACCAGGCACCGTGGAAAGATGCAGAGATGCTGTTCTTGCTCCTGCCAAGACAGCCTGATCTGGTACGAAGAGGCTCCTGGACCTTCTGATATGACTCTAGTATAGAACAGAACGTGATATGTGATGTAACAAAGTGCTTTCCTGGTATATTCTGTCATCCTCTCAGCAACCCAGTCGATAGGACAGGTGTTAAAGTCTCCCTGTAGCAATAAAGAGACTTCAGTGACTTGTTTATATTATTCATTAAGCCGTAAATGCAAGATTTAACCCTAGTGCTCTTTCCAGGACGTCCCTATGCCCCCAATAAATTACTATAAATGATTTTGAGGAAAATATGAGCGCCTAGAATAGAGAATAAAAACAATTTAAGGGTCAAAGGAGGGGATCATAAATGCTTCCAGAGAGGGTCATGACAGAGAGAGGGTTTTAGCAGAGGTCTGAGAGGACGGGGCAGGCGTCCCAGGGCTAGGGAATAATATGAGCAAACTGAGGATGCGGCCGGGCACGGTGGCACATGCCTGGGATCCAACCCACCCGGGAGACTGAGGCAAGAGGATGGCAAGCTCAAGGCCAGCCTCGGCAGTTCAGTGAGACCCTGCCTCAAAAATTTGAAAATAATTTTAAAAGGGGCTGGGAATGTAGCTCAGTGGTAGAATGCCCCTGGGATCCATCCCCAGTGTTGCAAAAATAAATAAATAAATAAATAAAACAAAGGAGAATGACTCAAGATATCCTTTTACTAATGTGTGAGATCAGGATTGAATGATGAGGCACAAGACTCACAGAAAGTAAGTCTAAGGATTAAGTCAGAAGAAAATCAGAGGACTTTTTAGGGCCATATGAAAGAGTTAAGGCTTGGTTTCTATGCAATGGGAGCCCCAAAGGATAGAGAGATGATGTGATCAGCTGTTATTTAGAGAATTTACTTTGGAACCCAGTGGAAGGAACCGTTTATGTAATCCTTCAAGTGGGCCTCTGTTACGCATCAGGCTCAGTGCTAGGTGCTAAGGACATAGAAATGACTTCTGTGTCACTTGGACTGTTAGAGAGGTCACCTAACTGGACCGCTGTGCCACCCTCACCTGCCCTGTAATGCCACACAGAACCCACTCAGCATCCACGGTGGCCTTTTTAAGGACAAAATCCCATCACATCCCACTCCTGTTCCCAACCCTCCTGGGTCTGAGATTCAGATGGCGCGTCTGTGTCATGGCCCACTGGCTTCATGACATAACACTGTCTTCTTTGCTCACTCAACCTCCCACTGCCCCTCACCACTGCCCCTCACCACTGTTCAACCACCTGGCCTCCCTGCTGTTCCGAGAGCACGTCAAGATCAGCTGTATCTCAGGGCATTGGTGCCTGCCGTTGGCATGGTCCAGAAGGTTCTTCCCCCAGTTACCCAATGACTGACTCCATCCCTTCACTCCAGGGAGGTTTCCCTAACCAAGTTCTCCTCTAAAGAAGCCCTCTGCTCTTCACCCTGCTTTGATTTAGTTTAGCTTTGGTCATTGTGGTTGGTTTGTTTTGTGGTACTGGGACTTGAACCCTGGGCCTTGTGCGTGTAGGCAAGTGCTCTTCCACCCAGCTACAACCCCGGCCCTGCTTAGTTGTCTTTAAAGAACTTAGCAACACAGGACGTACACTCCTGGGTTGCTTCACAACAGGAGTGTGCTCCCACACACATCCTTCCTTCCCTGGTTTCTCTGTTGAGTGTACTTACTGATAGAGCCACTAACCCTTACAGTCCTGTGGGACCACAGTAACACCCGTGGTTCACTGTTTTTCCCAAAATGTTGTTGTGTGGCCACATCACTGATCTTTTTTCTGATTCCCTCACTTATATGGAAATGGAATAAAAGTAGAGATTTTATATCATACACATGAGTCACCTGAGTCCATCTTAGCACCTAGCACAGATTCAGAGTTTCTCAAAAAATATTTGTTGAGTGAACGAAGCTATTGTAATAGCCCAAACTCAGAGCACAGCAGTAAACACCCAAAGACAGTGAATTCACAAGTCAGAGGGATTCCAGGCTGCCTCTTCCCCGTCACCTTCCCAGGCAGAAAGGTCAGCTAGCAGGGGCAGGTGATGGCTGGAGAGGTTTGGTTTGTTTTTTTTGTTTGTTTTTTGGGTTTTGTTTTGTTTTGTTTTGGTACTGGGGGTTGGACCCAAGGGTGCTTTACCACTGAGCTAAATCTCCAGTCCCCTTTTTTTAAAATTTATATATGACAGCAGAATGCATTACAATTCTTATTACACATCTAGAGCACATTTTTTCATATTTCTGGTTGTATGCATAGTATATTCACACCAATTCGTGTCTCCATACATGTACTTTGATAACGATGACCAGCACATTCCACCATAATTAATTACCCCACGCCCCCTCCCTGCCCCTCCCACCCCTCTGCCCTATCTAGAGTTCATCTGTTCCTCCCATGCTCCCTCTCCCTGTCGCACTCTGAATCAGCCTCTTTATATCACAGAAAACATTCATCCAGCCCCTTTTTATTTTTTACTTTGAGTCAGGGTCTCACTAAGTTGCTCAGGGCCTTGCTAAGTTTCTGAGGCTAGCTTTGAACTTGCAATCCTCCTGCCTCAGCCTCCTGAGCTGTTAAAATCACAGGTGTGCACTGCACCCCTGCACCCAGGAGCCCGCAGGAGATAAACGGTGTTTTCAGCCTTTTTCCGAAGGTCTCCCTGCCTCTGTCTCCTTGTGGGCTTCTGTGCCTTCTTCATCATCCCTTGGCTGAGGGGTGCCAGGGTTGCTCTACTACCTGCAGCATCGGGCACCTGCTTAGAAGTCTTTTTATTTCAAACAAAGAACTATTGAGCATTTGCCATGAGCCAAAGAATCATGACAGGTACAGAGCACGCAGAGAGACAGACGGTAGAACCTAGTTAACTTCTACGCGATACAGGAAGGCAGACAAATTGGATCCTTTTCCTACAATGAGGTAAGTACCTGAGGAAAGCCCAGAGGAAGGGTGTTCAACCCAGACAGAGGAGAATCAGGGAACTCCTGAGGCGGGCAGGGAGCGGTGAAGGGGTGATGCTTGAAAGTAAGAATTAGTTAGTCAAAAGAGTCAGAAAGGGGTGCAGATGACAGGAACAACAAGAACCAAAGTTGATTTTATGAGTAGCAGGAACTCAGTTTGGGGGCTGCACCCAGAAAACATTCAGTGGTCTCATCAGCTGTCACTGACCTTTGATTTTCCGAGGCTTTTATTTTCTTTTATTTTCTAGTACTAGGAATTGAACCCACTGAGCCCCATCCCCAGCCCTTTTGACTTTTCCATTCTGAGATAAGGTCTCACTAAACTGCTGAGGCCGACAGAGAACTCATGACGCTTTAAACTCAGCCTCCCCAGGGGCTGGGATGGGAGGCCTGTGCCTGGTGCCCCACTTATAACTTTGTCACTTCTATCAAAGAGATTTGACGGATCCAAAAGTGCCAACGCGTAAGAGGAAACCCAGGAGTGACACCTTGTCCTGGGAAGGGTGAGGTTCGCTCTGGGGACCTGCGAGCACTGACCTCCTTCCCTCTTTCCCCCCCTCAGCTGCCACCCAAGGGGAAGCTCCGGAGCCTGTGCAGCCAGCACGTGGAGAAGCTGCAGGTCTTCCAGCACCTCCACCCCATCGTGGTCCAAGCTGCTTTCCCCCCCCTCTACAAGGAGCTCTTCAGCACTGAAACCGAGTCCCCCGAAGGGCTGTCCGAGTGACCTGAACAAGGATGCCTTTCCTCTCCCTTCAGCCTCTGCTAGCCACCCCCCCGACGGACCTGGGTCCACTCTCAGTCTTTCTCTCCCCATGTCTCTGGAGGGCGGTCCCCAGCAGTTCTCTGGGAATGAGCAAATACTGAGACTGATTTTCTACCCCCAGATTTACCTGGCAGTGGGTCACCAGCCAGAGGCGGGAGGTGGAAGAACCCAGCCTTGGCCCTGTTCTGTCCCATTTCCCACCCCCTCCACCCGTCTTCTGGGAGTATGGGGTGGACGGGATATAAGGACCTCTAGGAAGACCAAGGTGTCCTCGAGAAAACAGGGAATCCAGGGCGCCCTGGATGAGAAGAACTCAACTCTGGGCTCAGAAGCTAAGAATAGGCCTTTGAAATACCTCATTGCATTTCCCCCGTGAGCTTCGGCTGGGGGAGATGGATCAAGCTCAGAGACTTAGTGGCAAGAGCCCAGAAGGACCTGTAGATAACATGAATCTGGACCCTTAAATTTTCTGCCTTCTTTCTTCCTCTCAGTTCAGCAAAGAAGTTGTTGGGCACCCTGCCCTTTTCCTGCGATCTAAATAACCTGAATACAATGCTGGGCACAGGGGCACACGCCTGTGATCCTAGAGGCTCGGGAGGATGAGGCAGGAGGATCACAAGTTCAAAGCCAGCCTCGGCAATGGCGAGACGCTAAACAACTTAGTGAGACCCTGTCTCTTAATAAACTACAAAATAGGGCTGGGGATGTGGCTCAGTAGAGTTCAATCCCTGGTACCAAAAAAAAAAAAAAAACACACACACACAAAAAAATAAGAATGGGAAGGGGGTGGAGGGAGGGGGATAATTGTCACGGGGATTTGGGTGTGAAGGGAGGGTAACACAGTGGACGCCAATAGCCTCAGGTCGAGATACAGAGGTCAAAAAGAACCCTTTTATGCGCACTTTAAATATAAACTGTAGGAGTCTGTTCAGAGACACACATTCACACACAAGCAAAATACATGTGAACTAAACTTGCAGTCATGCAGTTCTATTGGCACGTTTGGGCTGACACACTCTCTCTCATCCTGAGGTCACAGCTCAGAGAAACCTAGGGACCTCAGAAAGAGTCTCAGTCTGGTAGGATCCCAGGACATTTCCGTGGTGATCCAGCCCACCAATCTTACACCTGGAGTGGTCCAAATTCCCACCTAGCTCCAACTATCTTCTATCACAAGAGCTGCCAAGAGGCCAGGAGTGGTAGAGAATGCCCGCAATCCCAGCTACGCAGGAGGCCGGGGCGTAAGAATCCCCAGTTCAAGGCCAGTCTCAGCAACTTAGTGAGACCCTGTTTCAAAAAATAGAAAAAGGCTGGGGATGAAAAGAGACAGACACTGGGGAAAGGAGGACTTCCTTGGCCAGGGACTACTTTCCCCATGAAAAAAAGAAGGTGATGCCATCCTATGGCTCTGTGACTGGCTGCCACCGAGTCTACCAGGAAGAACCAGGGACCTGGTTCTCTGTTGTGACCTTGTCCCAGAATTTCCTTTGCTTCAGAAATAGCGGTGGACCCTCCTGGGAGAACTAAAAAACAGGTGATGGGAGGATTTTTTTTTTCCTCTCAGGGGAGGGACTTGGCTGGGTAGATATAAACCCCAACCTGTACAGTTCTCTATAAAATGATTTGAAAGGCAAGTGTGTGTGTGTGTCAGGATGGAGGGCGTCTTCAAGATGACTACCTATGTGCCTGCTCGCTGGCCTCATTCTGTGTCCAGTCTGCACACTGTCATTAGGAGAATTCTAGCCCCCATCACCCCCAGGCTGAGCAGTACCCCCCGCGGAGGCTCCTGAGCCAATCCCCAGGTACTTCCACCCAAGGTGCCTCAAGCTAAGCTCCACAGGGAATGTAGTGGGGTGAGAACTTTTCCATACGTGATGCCCACCCACGGGGGCTGTTTAGATTTAGAGGTTGCACAGAATCGCTCTGCATCTGGGAGACCAAAAGGCAATTCTCTGGAAGCTGGTTAGCGTTAGCGGGGGGGGGGAGCTCCCGAGCTCCCTGGAGAGGAATCGGGATGTCAGAGAGACCCTTTGTGCCACCCGGCTGCCTGTCTTGCAGACCCCGTCCCTGGCACAGAGCCTCCCCCTGGCTCCTTCCCTCCACTGACATCCTGTAGTGGCCGCTTGCTGCAGACCTCCCCCCGGTGGCTTTATTTATTTATTTTGCACCAACAGGGTTGCTGCAGACTCATTCTCGCCTGGTTTAAAAAAAGGGAGAGAGAGGAGAAAAAAAAAAAGGAGAAATGCTTCCTGGCTCTTTTCTCTCCCTGTGTCTTGGCAGCAAGGACCACAGCGGTAGCAGCAGCGGCTGTGGCGGTGGCAGGCGGGCGGGCGGCGGGAGTGGGGAGCGAGGCACAGACGGGAAGTGCAGTGGCCCCAGGTGCAGCTCGAATGGGACGGGGGCCCCCAGCCCCGGGGCAGATGCAGTGTCCAACTTGATGCCAGCCTCCAGCGTCTCCGGTAAGTGCCCCTGCCCTCTGTCCCAAACGGCAGCTGCCCTTTTCCGTAACATTCTCAGAGACAAAGCCAAACCGGGGAGCCTGTCAATGGAAGAGGATCGTACCCCACCCCACCCCACCCCCGCCAACCCTTGCTCCTGCCACCACAGGACTTTCACGGGCAAACTAAAATTTCCGGGTGCCCCTAGGTGGAAGGACTCCCTGGAGACCTCCTCCATTTTCTCCCCAGAGATCCCTCTACCCCTGGGCAGAATATCCCCCCATGGTCAGTGTGGATATTCCAGAAATCTTTCCCCCAGGAGTTCCCTCCCCACACAGGGCCCTATGCCTCAGTCGGGTGAGCTTTAAAGAGGACGCTCAGGTCCACATGTGTCTCTGAACCCACACGGGGCCAGGAGGACGCCCCCCACCCCGTTGAAGGAGAGAAAGAAACGGCCCGACACCTATCTCCTCCGGCAAAGTGGCTGGAAGCCAGTCCCGTACCCATGGAGCTGGGCAAGTTTGTGGTTAAATTAGCCACCTTATAAATAAAAGAGTCTGGCTCCAGGTCCCCCAGCCCCTGGCCCAGCAGGTTGGGGGACTAAGAGGAAACCCACGAGAACGGAAAGGAGGGAGGCTGGGTCCCATGCTCCATTGCACTTTTGCTGAATGCAGAGCAAAAAGGATGAGCAGGAGCTGCAGCGACGGTGATGAAGAGCTAGCTGTCAGGTGGACTTCCCAGAACAGGCACAGGAAGAAGGGGGGAGGCTGGGCATCCCTGTCCCTGGAGAACTCTCGGCATGCTGGATACCTGTTAGGTTAGGGTAAGGGCAGAGGAGGCCGATAGCAGCCCTTGCCCCTTGCCATTCTTTTCCATCCTCCAAGCCTCCGAATAGTGCCCTGCGTCCCTCTGCTGTTTTTGCACCCCGTCAAGTCTAATGCTGGGGTGGATAAATGACAGCCTCTGGAATGACCCTGCTGGCGGAGGGTGGAGAATGGAAAGGAGGGGGAAGAAGTCACACTGTCCTGTGTTCCACTTGGGAGAAAATAGGGCACAAAGCAGAGAGCTGACCCCACAGGACCCAGAAAGCCTGAAGCTCGAAGCCCAGAGGTGATCAGGACCTGCAGCCAGGGTGCTGCCTCCAGGAGAATCCGTGGCTCTTGCCACTATCACATCAGCCGCCCCTGCCCAACTCCAACACTTTCCCTCCCTCGGGATCCCTGTTGTATCCAACAGGGCAAATTGAGACAGCCACTAAAGACCTCTTTTTCTCTATCACCTCAGACAGCCTCGGGTGATCCATTACAGTCACCATCTTCCTGATATTGCCCAGGCTCCTGGTACCCAGAACCCCAGATGTCTGCTGTGCCAGCTAAGGGCTCCTCTTCTCCCCACCCCACAGCATCAGGTCAGATGCTCTCTCTCCTCCCTGATCTGCGCCTCCCAGAATCACAGTCCATCTTAGCGCAGGCCAGAGGGGACAAGTGGCTATCTCTTAGATTCACACACAGACTAGAATCAAAACACTATTAAGAAGGGTTATAAGAGCTGGGCCCAGTGGCACCTGCCTGTAATCCCAACAGCTCAGGAGGCTGAGGCAGGAGGATCACAAATTCAAAGCCAGACTCAGCAATTGAGTAAGGCCTTAAGCAACATAGTGAGACCCTGTCTCAAAATAAAAAAATAAGAAAGGGCTGGGTATGTGTTTAGTGGTTAAGTGTCCCTGGATTCAGTCCCTGGTATTAAAAAAAGAAGAAGGAGGGTTATAAGAGAAAAGTGAGGACCAAACCATTCACACCCTGGGCAGCCTTTGCAGGAGAGGAAGGGTTGGTCAGAGATTCCCAGCTCCCCCATAGAGTGCCCCCTGCACCCTGGGTCACGGATAATGTACAGCTGGCTGTCATCCACACAGGCATCCTGGGGAGACTGGATCTCCTAGTCCAGACTTCAGGCCCTGGGCCAGGCTGGACGGGTACAGAGACAAGGGGCAGAGCCTGGGGTGACAGCTGAGGTGAGGACCTTTCTCCAGTCAGATCTGGCCAAGGATGTGTTTTCCTTGAGCCCTAGGCAAAACCATACATGACATGGGACAGCAAGGGTAGGCTGAGAGGGAGAGCAGCACTTGGGGAGCAGACATCAGGGAGAAGGGAGCTAAGTTATTCCTGGACCTTACAGACACAGGGAGAAATCATTACAGAAAGACTCAGAGTTACTTCCCTTCTGCTGCCTGTCCCATTCCAATAAAACTTCCCCCCCCCCCCAGAAATCAGGTTGACTAGGGTTTCACGAGGTAGTTACAGGAGCACCGAGCTGGTTAGCCAGGCCTGGGATGGGGGGGGTGGGGGAAGATTCCCCAAAGAGGAGTCCCAGGAAGCCCCAGGAGGTGGTGTACCAGACAGAATTCTTCCTAGTTCTCTACCCTGCCTACTGGCAATGCTAAGACAGACCCATTTCAATACGGAGGGCTTGAAAAAGTCCAGGTCACCATCATCTGAAGCCACTCTCCAAAAAGGACCATGTCATCATCTTTTCTAGGACTCAAGAGGCCATGAATGCGGCCACAGCTCCACAGCAAGCCTGGCCCCCGTGGCACCCCCTCCTTTTCCTGCTCCTCCTGCCTGGAGGTAGCAGTGGTAGCTGCCCTGCCCTTTGTGACTGCACCTCCCAGCCCCGAGCCGTGCTCTGCGCCCACAGGAGACTGGAGGCTGTCCCTGGGGGACTCCCGCTGGACACTGAGCTCCTGGACCTAAGTGGGAACCGCCTGTGGGGGCTTCAGCGGGGCATGCTTTCCCGACTGGGCCTGCTGCAGGAACTGGACCTCAGCCACAACCAGCTCTCTGCCCTTGAGCCTGGGGCCTTCCATGGCCTACAGAGCCTCCTCACCCTGAGGCTACAGGGCAACCGGCTCCGAATTGTGGGGCCGGGGGTCTTCTCGGGTCTGTCTGCCCTCACACTGCTTGACCTCCGCCTCAACCAGATTGTTCTCTTCCTGGATGGAGCTTTTGGTGAGTTAGGCAGCCTCCAGCAGCTGGAGGTTGGGGACAATCACCTGGTGTTTGTGGCTCCAGGGGCGTTTGCAGGCCTGGCCAAGTTAAGCACCCTCACCCTGGAGCGCTGCAACCTCAGCATGGTGCCTGGCCTGGCCCTTGCCCGGCTCCCAGCACTAGTGGTCCTTAGGCTTCGGGAACTGGATATTGAGAGGCTGCCGGCTGGGGCGCTGCGGGGGCTGGGGCAGCTAAAGGAGCTGGAGATCCACCACTGGCCATCTCTGGAGGCTCTGGACCCTGGGAGTCTGACGGGGCTCAATCTGAGCAGCCTGGCCATCACTCGCTGCAACCTGAGCTCTGTGCCCTTCCAAGCTCTGCACCACCTGAGCTTCCTCAGGGTCCTGGATCTATCTCAGAACCCTATCTCTGCCATCCCAGCCCGGAGGCTCAGCCCCCTGGTGCGGCTCCAGGAGCTGCGACTCTCAGGGGCCTGCCTCACTTCCATCGAGGCCCACGCCTTCCACGGCTTGTCAGCCTTCCACCTGCTGGATGTGGCAGATAACGCCCTTCAGACCCTGGAGGAGACGGCTTTCCCTTCTCCAGACAAACTGGTCACTCTGAGGCTGTCTGGCAACCCCCTAACCTGTGACTGTCGCCTCCTCTGGCTGCTCAGGCTCCGTAGCCGCCTGGACTTTGGCACTTCCCCCCCTGCCTGTGCAGGCCCCCAGCCTGTCCGGGGGAAGAGCCTGAGGGAGTTTTCAGACATCCTGCCTCCAGGGCATTTTACCTGCAAACCAGCCCTGATCCGGAAGTCTGGGCCCCGGTGGGTCATTGCCGAGGAGGGAGGACACGCCGTTTTTTCCTGCTCCGGAGATGGAGACCCAGCCCCCACTGTCTCCTGGATGAGGCCTCAGGGGGCTTGGCTGGGAAGGGCAGGGAGAGTCAGGGTCCTAGAGGATGGGACACTGGAGATCCGCTCAGTACAGCTACAGGACAGAGGGGCCTATGTCTGTGTGGTCAGCAACGTAGCTGGGAATGACTCCCTAAGAACCTGGCTGGAAGTAATTCAAGTTGAACCACCAAACGGCACTCTCTCTGACCCCAACATCACTGTGCCGGGGATCCCAGGGCCTTTCTTTCTGGACAGCAGGGGTGTGGCTATGGTGCTGGCAGTTGGCTTCCTCCCCTTCCTCACCTCAGTGACCCTCTGCTTTGGCCTGATTGCCCTCTGGAGCAAGGGCAAGGGCCGGGTCAAACACCATGTGACCTTCGACTTTGTGGCACCTCGGCCCTCTGGGGATAAGAACTCTGGGGGAAATCGGGTCACTGCCAAGCTCTTCTGACTTTTCCTTCCACCCAGGGGACCCAGACAAGTCCAATTCAGACACCAAAGGGAAAGACAGAACCAAGGCCACTTGGACCAGAACCTCATCCCAAGCAGCCCAGATCTCCCCAACCCGCCACCTGCCTCATGCCAGCAATTAGTGACGCCTCCGGAGAAAGGGGCTGCTGTCCGTGCCTTTCCAGTCTGAGGACAGCACTGTCATCTCTTCTCTGAGGGTGCAAGGAGTTGTAGATATAGACCCTGTAGTCCACCCAGCCCTCCCTTCATCCCCACCCCATGTGGAGCAGAAAACCACCAAGGTTCCAGTCTGCCATTCTAACCACTAGGCTTTCTTCGCACAATTACATTCTCTAATAATCAATACCAATTGCAATGGTATTGATATGATATGATAGCCAAGATTGTTTTAGAGGTGAGACTCAGAAGTGCCGCTTGCTTCTTGGGGTCTTTGCTCCTTACCCAGGAAGTTTCCCTTTCTTTTCTACTCCCCATCACACCCCAGCCCCAGGCTGTAAGTGTAAGGAACTAGAGGCCAGGATCCTCAAGTTGAGGAGAAGAGGATGCATGCGTGATATGGGGGAAGATGGACCACACACTGGGCTGTGTCTGCATGAGCCAACACCTTCCTCTGTCTGACCATTAAACCTGCTGCCAAAAGGTCACTACACTCGCAGCCAAAACAAAACACCATCTCTGGAACTTTCTTTACTTCAGTCTATTTCCTCCCATCTTCCCCTTTCTGCCTACTGACCATGTGACCCAATGGCCTCACCTCCACCTAACCCAGTTTGACATACGGGGTAAGGGGGCCTACCAGCCTGGAAAGATCAGCGCTCCCAGCTCCTTTCGGTCTCAATCCTTTACCTTTTACTCCCCTTCTCTGGAGCTGGGGCAACTTCCAGTGGATCCTGGTGCAAAAATCCCAGCCTAGGATACCCAGCTCCTCCCCTCCTTTCTAGTCTTTCTGGTGTCAGATTCCCTACTGCACTGGTGGGGATAAAGCTAGAGGAAGCTCCTAGAAAATGACTAACAAATGCAAAGCTGTCAAAGGAGAGAGACCCAGAATGCAGAAGGTGCTTGGCTGAGGGACAAGGGAGGGCAGCCCAGTGAGTGGGAAGTGGAGGGGGAAGGAGCAGCAGGATCTGCCTGCCTGGTTACTTTCCACTTCCCTTCTGTAGCAGTCCTGGTCCGTGTTTGGCACAGCCCTAGTGGGAAGCCGTCTCTGGACAGACGTCACCCAGACAGGGAAGTGGAGGGAAGGTTTGGAACTGCTGACTACCACAAAGTGTTTCAAACAGAGGACAAAGCAAAGCCCCCAAAAGTAGAGATGCTGAGCGCTCAAGAGATCAGGCGACAGTCTCAGCATCACCAGAAGGGGAGGAGCAAAAAGGAGCCGAGAGGAGGAGGAGGAGGGACCGACAAGGGGAGAATCACGCGGCCCCCGGGGAGCCTTGCTTGCTCTGCAGCAGCATCTGCCCAGCGTCCTTAGTTCCCCTCCTCCTCTGGATCCCCTCCCACCCCACACCAAACCACAGGCGAACATCATGAGCTTCCTAGCCGCTGCTGTTTGTCCTTGGTCTGAGGAGACTCCACTCTTACAACAGTCCCAGCTCAAACTGTCCCCGACAGGTGAGGGCAGCCAGTGCTATGGAGAAGGCAGAGCTGGACTTGAGACCAGGCAACTCCTCAGTGGGGCACAAGTGAATGTGAGAAGCCACCAGTTCAGGGTGTGACTGAAGAAATCAACATCCATGAGAAATAGGTATCCCCGAGTCCTCCTGCCAAACTCCCCCACTGTGCACAACTCAGTCAGCATCCCAGGGACCTCCCCCACAACGTCCCCCAGCTTATTAGATTAGGACTTGGGAATCTGGCGCCAGTGGCTCTCAGTCTACTGGTCCTCTCTGCAATGCAGATAAGGGCTGAAGCAGCCCTGCTGTTGGAGAAATCTCCGTGTGGCCCCTGGGGCGGGCAGTCGGGAACAGATGAACGTCTGGCACAGGGAGAAGCTGCTCACCAAAGTCTCAAGAGCAGAGATGCCGAACAGAAAAAGAAGTTGAGTCACATGTGTAAATTCAAATTTTCTAGGGGCCCATTGAAAAAGTCAAAATGACGCAGTATGATTTCAAAACTAGATTTTATTTAACCCAATGTAACCAAATTATTTTTATTTCAACATGTTATCAATATAAAAATCAATGATGAAACTCTTAACACTATTTTTTTATAATTGGTCTTTGAAATCCAGTATATATTTTATATTCATAGCACATTTCAATTAAATCACTAATTTTTTTTTTTTTACCAAAAATATTTGTATATAAATTTCATTAAATTCACTGCTGGAAAAGTAGATTCACACATCCAAGTTGTTCCAAACATACTGTTTTCCAATAAATGAACCAAGTATCTGTTTTAAACTTTAAACTGGTTATAATTAAACAAATATAAAATCCCATTCTTCAGTTGCACTACCACCTTTAAAAGTGCTCAGTAACCACACGTGGCCAGCAGCTACTATACAGCTAGAATGCAGCTCCAGAAATGGTGCCTGGCACTAAGCATAGAGAAGGGTCTCCCTAGTAAACAAAATATCACTCAAGAATAGTATTCCCCTCTACCACCCGCCACTCCTGTTCTCCTTTCCCAGTTTTTCCAGGATGGCTTCAAGGGTTAAAGTCTGCTAAGGAGACCAGGTTAATGTAATGAGCATTTCTACAGCTTGTCAAATCACCAACAAGCCAGTGCCCCCTCTTAAAAAAAAAATACACACACACACACACACACCCTTTCGGTTATGGATAAACCTTTATTTTTATGTGGTGCTGAGAATCAAACCCTGTGCCTCCCACATGCTGGCAAGCGCTCTACCGCTGAGCCCCAGCCCCAGAGTGCAGTCCCTCCTCTTACCTGACTGGAAAGGCCGCTCTTAGGCGGGTATGTGTGCCAATGAGGATGCAACTGCAACTGGGGACAATGAGGATGCAACTGCAACTGGGGACACGAGTGGGTATACCACATGGTTTTGTGGGGCATGACCACATGCAAGGATATGATAGAGGCAGTTCAATGGCAGCTCTGTCCAGGGTGGGAGAGAAGAAAACTGCCCAGAGAGAAGAAAACATTCATTTAGGGCCTCCTCCATTTAAATGGCCTTATATGTTTTCTTACTGAACCCTCCCATCAACCCCGTCTGGTAGGTAGGCATCTTAGTTCATCAACTCCAGGTAAAATAGGTTAAGTCACTCGGGTTGCTCGTGCACAGAGCTAGTTACCAGGGAACCTCATCTGAACTCAGGTTGGTCTGACTCATCACACTGCCACATTCACTATTCTTGCCTCTTCTCCCAGGACCTCTCACTTGCAGGACATAAACTGTGACAAAGGTAACATCTTCCACCCAACTCATTCTAAACTTGTAAGGGCAACAGATCTGTTGTTAATCCCCACCTTCCTTCCATAACTCTATTTCAGGGAGTCGTTTTTACCATTTTGGCTTCAGCCCTTCTTCCAGTGCTCGGCTTCTGTCTCCAGGACGGGCAGAGAGGAGCAGAAACTCCAGGAATCAGGCAGACTGATGTGAAATGCCGGTCTCGCAGCAAAGGACTCTCTTGTGATTAAATATGAAGGCTCTGAACTTCCTAGTTCCTTTTCTGGGTTCTAACTTCAGCAAGCTCTTAGGTTAGAGAAAGGCTGTTCAGAAAATGCCGTATGGTGGAACAATCAGGGAGCTGTCTGAATCCATTCACTCTGCCCACCTTCTGCTGCCCGTGCTTGGCAGGTCCTCACGAAGTCATCTCATCACACACATCTTCCACCCGTACTAGCCTCCATCTCAGTCATGGTTTCACCTAGGCTGAGGGAACTTAAACCCAAAGTACTCTGGCACCATTACAGCGGGTCCCATTTGGGCCCTGGATATACTCTCTCTCTAACTTCTGACTTCCATTTCCTTAGCCAGGCTAGATCCTGATTCAGAGAATGAGAGCACTGCAAGGCAATGATCCTCAACCTTGAATCATGGGCCCTTGAAAATAACTAGTGCACTTTAGGAACAAAAATGTTTATCCATTATCCAGTCATGTGGAAGCCACCAAAGATCTTATGGAATGCAGGTTAGGAACCTCTACTGTGGGCCAGATACGATGGTACACACCTATAACCCCAGAACTGCAGAAGCTAAGGCAAGAGAATTGCAAGTTTGAGGCCAGACACAGCAACTCAGCAAGATCCCGACTCAACATAAAAAATAAAGCTGGGTGCAGTGGTGCATGCCTGTAATCCCAGTGACTTGGGAGGCTGAGGCAGGGGGAACTGCAAGTTCAAAACCAGCCTCAGCAACTTAGCAAGGCACTTAGCAACTCAGCAAGACCTGTCTATTAAATAGAATATAAAAAAGGGCTGGGGATGTGGCTCAGTGGTTAAACACCCCTGGGTTGAATTCTCAGTACCCAAATAAGTAAGTAAATACATAAAAAATTTAAAAAGGCTTGGGATCTAGTAAAGCTTAGGTTGCCTTTGTTCCTGGGGCCCAGTGGAGGCAAGGAGAAAGGCTGGGAAGGACCACAGAGGTGTTTAGCACAGATGATGGAAAAGGCCCTGTCCCCTTCTCCCACAGTACTCATTCCTCAGGGACAGGCAGTGTGAGGATCACTCATACTGGAGAATGTCTAAGACCAGAGATTCTCAAGTCATGTTTTGTGAGGGAAACGAAGCAAGACTTGAGAGATGGGAAGTTGAAGCCAGAGAAGCTGGGGAGAATCTCTCCCAGGATACCTGCCACAGTTCATCAGTCTGATCTAAAGATGCAATATCACCAGCATAAATTATGAGAATAAGGCTCTTGCTCCTAGTTGCTGGTTTCCTTCTTTCTTTCTTTTCCTTTTTGTTTTTTTTTTTTTTGGTAGTTGTATGTGGACAGCATGCTTTATTTTCTTTGTCTTGTTTTTATGTGGTGCTGAGGATGGAACACCAGTACCTCACCCATGCTAGGCAGACGCTCTACCACTGAGCCCCAGCCCCAGCCCTCGTCGCTGGCTTCTGATAAAGAGGGTGGATAAATGAAAGAGAAAGGGCTGGCTCCTGTGGTGGGCCAAAGGAGAGGTGAGTGCTGTTTCTCAAAGACTTGGGCAACTGAATGTTCTTTGAGTGGCTCATCCACGTGTTTTATGGGAAGGGAACTTTGTGAGCCACGGCTCTGGAGTCAGGCTACCAGAGTCTGGGCAGCCCTCACTGCCCAGACACTAGCTAAAAATCTACTCTCCTGTTTCAGGCTTAACAGCTGCTCACCAAATTCTCTGGGAAATCCAGGCCTTCTGTTAACTTATTTCACCTACTACCTCCTGCAGCTTATTCAGAACACCCATCAAGGAAAGAGAAGGGACTCTAAGGAGCTGGAGATGAAAATACAGAAATTACTATTCACCCAATCCTGCATCTCACACTCAATCTCTCGATTCTGATTTGGGTTCTTAGTAGGAAAATGATATAAAAATTCCAAATGCACAGTGACTTGAGAGTGAGTCTGGAATCCTCTATTAGAATCACTTCAACTAAAGTCGTTTCCTCTGTTCCCCAATCTCACCAGCCAGTTAGAAGTCAACCCTCTTTTAAAAAATTCCCAGGAATAGTGATTCCACCTGGCTTTTCATGCCCTGATTAAGAAATCCTCCTGTCGTATGATTT